CGTTGCACAGCCTCAAATATGTAGGGACAGTTCACGTGTACATATATTCTCGTAGTCGCTGAGCACAGACCAATTTAAATATGGGGGCCCTTAGCGCCTGAAAAACATTTGCATAAGTAGACATTAACGCCAGATCGTACCTAAATAAAATGTTTTTACATTACTTATTTTTTCAAAAAACTGCAAAGTATTTATTCCGAGGACCATATTTTTTTTAACTAAACTGGTGGACAGCTGCTTTGCAACAGAAAATTTTACCCAAATTCAAAACCCGATATTTTCGGGACGGAAAGAGATATTGAGTTGCGGTATCGGGAGGTTCTTGACCAACTCTTTGAGAACACGTATTTCTTTTACTTATCTACTTTTACAGGGTGAGCAAGGGAAGTTTTTATGCAAAGTTTGGGGATATGTCAAATTGTGAATTTTTAATCTAAATTTTTCTATGTTCTATGCATCTTTGTGATCTTTGGACTATCCTAAAAAAGGAAATTTCTCAAATTGTCTAAAGTTGGTCATAACCCAAATTATCGAATTTTAAAAAAGGGATTTTTTTGGGGTTTCTCTTGAGAATGGACATTTTTTCCTCATACTGTTGCATAAAGTAAAATTTCTTGCGCCGGGGAAAAGATTGACGCACTTATTGAACGTTATTGCCTCCAGTGGAGTACAGTAAAAATTTGCTTCATTATGTAGGTAATTTAATCCGAATTTATAAATTTTACTATGCAATTAAACAGCTTAATGAGCAAATTCAAGTTACTACTCTTAATATAGGGGTGTATTCCAGTGGCGTAACACCAAAAGCATTTTTTTGTTTTGTAAGAAGTGCTAATAACTTAAATTTATTTTTCAAAATGCTATGATGCTGGCAACACTGCTATTTATCTTTTATCTGGAGTTTTTTATCTTTCTCATTCATCATCGGCATACGCGTCTTCATTGGAGATGTTTTCCAATAGGTAATAGACTCTATCAAATGTTTAAGCAACATCAAAAGATTTATTGATTAACATTAACAATAAGTAACATATACTAAGTGACATATAAATCCGAACACCCAGTTTAAATGGTTTTATTTTAATAAAAGTTGGTGAATGTATTTATCTTACTGTAAATAACAAGTGACAAAATTTTCAGCCTTATCAGTTGGACATTCCGGTTTTTATACTGCTTTTTTTTTAATTCACTAACGCTCTAAAAATGAATATTTCAGCCGCAGTAAAGAATCAACGTTGGCGGATTTTGGTTCTTGACATCCTTTACGATGTAGAGTAGAGTACGGAGACCTGTACGATTTCGTCAACTTAGTGAGTTTGATAGGGGCCGTATAGTGGGACTTCGGGAAGCTGGACTTTCTTTTCGGGCAATTGCAGTTAGAGTGCAAAGAAGTGTAGACACTGTGGTTAGGTGTTGTCAGGCATGGCTTCGAGAAGGCCGTACTCAAAGAGCAAGGGCACGGGACGCCGCCGTAGAACAACAGACCGTGAAGATCGCCGCCTAAGATTATTGGCCTTGAGGGACCGTTTCTCCACTATCAGGTCCATTGCAAATGAATGGTTTGCAGAACACGGCAGACCTATTGGCATGCGAAGTGTTTACCGACGAATGAGAAGTTTTGGCTTGTTTTCATACCGGCCACACTGGGTCCTCCCTTTAACTCGAGAACACCGACGTAATCGCCTTGAGTGGTGCAGACAACGGTCACTCTGGGATCAGGAATGGAACAGTATTGTCTTTAGTGACGAGTCTCGATTTTGTTTAGGCATGCACGATGGTCGTGCCAGGGTTAGAAGGCGACGTGGTGAAAAGAGGAATCCACAGTTTTTTGTTGAAAGACATGTTCATCACACTGTTGGAGTTATGGTTTGGGGTGTTATAGCTTATGGTTCCAGGTCACCTTTTATCTTCATCAGAGGTAACATGAACGCGCAGCGTTATATCCACGAAGTTCTAGAACCCCATCTTTTACCCTATCTTGACACCCTGGCACATCCAACTTTCCAACAAGATAATGCCCGACCACATGTTGCAAGAGTCACAATAGACTTCTTTCAACATAATGATGTCACATTGTTACCATGGCCACCAAGATCTCCCGGCTTATCCCCAATTGAGCACGTATGGGATATGATGGGTAGGAGATTGCTCAATTTGCAACGTCCTCCTCAGACTCTAGAAGCACTTCGAGAGGAGTTGGTGGTTGCCTGGAATGAGATACCACAGGAGGACATTGACCACCTGATCAGAAGCATGCCTAGGCGCGTTGGAGAATGCGTAGCACATCAGGGTGCATCCACACATTATTAAAGGTCAAAGGGCTTTAAAGCAGTGCAATAATTTTGAAACTTTTATCATTTACTTATTATGCTTCATTAAGTACTTATACAAAATTTTATTAAAATAAAACCATTTAAACTGGGTGTTCGGATTTATATGTCACTTAGTATATTAGAAAACAAAGATTAGAAGACCAGTTAAATAGCTAAATTGTTTATTTATGACAAAAACGAACTTTTTCAAAACAGCAACAGTTATTTTAAACAATATTGTTAGTACCTTGTATTGCCACTCCACACATCGATCACAGCCTGGCATCTTCGTGGCATACTTTCCAGAAGGTTATTAATAAATTCTCGGGATACATTTTCCCGCTCTTCCTGAATAGCCTCAGATAGCTCTTCCATTGTTTGAGGACCATTTTGTCTCGACCGCACTAAGAATTTTAGAAGACCACATGTAACATTATTTCCTGCTAAAAAGTTTATAACCGTACGAACTGTGTGCGGCCTGGCGTTATAATCGATAAAGACAAAATCCTGCACAAAATTTTGGGCAAGAGGTACAACAACTTTGTTTAAAATGTATTCCCTATAAACTGCATCATTGACTGTCCTGTTTGAAATAATAGAAAGTTTGGTTTTACCATTGTGCATAGCCCTAGCCCAAACAGTAATGCCACCTCCACCAAACGCCTCTTGTGGAGCCATATTTCAGAGTGGAATAGGTTGAAGCATGTTTACATGAGAAAAAATGCTATTTTGCTACTGCTGATGCTTATTTACGTACGTGTTCTCAAAGAGTTGGTCAAGAACCTCCCGATACCGCAACTCAATATTTCTTTCCGTTCCAGTTCCCGTTTGAATTTGGGTAAAATTTTCCATGTTGCAAAGCAACTGTCCACCAGTTTATCTGTCACTGCACAGTCAGATTCGTAACATTACCGATAGACTAATTTATTACGGATCTGCACCTTGTTTGTATCACATATGGCATACCTACAGTAATACTATATAATTATACTCAGTGATATTAGAAGAGTTACATCCACAAAAAATAATTTCTTCAACTGGATTTTTTGGCAATGAGGTTATCTTACTTCAAAAATGAAACGATAACATTCTCACGAAATTTTATTGACAAGTAATGAGAAAAAAAATTAATAATGTGTTGGGCGACCCCGCAGCTGAATACAGTCCTGTATACGTCTAGTCATCGACAAAATGAGACGACCGATGTCTGGTTGTGGCACCTCATTCCAAGCGACTCGAACTTCGTTAATTAGCTGTGGAAGAATCTGCGGCGGATGGTGTAAAGTGGATAGTCTCCTCCCCATCATATCCCACACATGTTCGTTGGGATTTAAATCCGGCAAAACATTAATGCCTGCTTCTTGAAAAAAATGCGTAATACGACAAGCAATATGGGGACGTGCGTTGTCTTGCTGAAAAAGGACGTGCCGACGGCCTTCTAGATAGGGCAGTAAAAAGGGTTTGTAGGACATCATCAACATAACGCGCAGCAGTCATATTGCCTTGAACAAAGAGAAGTAGTGATCGACTACCATTGGCAATAACCCACAAACCATTACTCCGACAGTCCTCTGTACATTTCTCTCAACAGCAAATCCAAAATCACGCCGTTCTCCACCGCGGCATCTTACCCTTCCACGACCATCGTGCGTACCTACACAGAATCGCGATTTGTCGCTGAAGATGACATTATGCCATTCTGCCTGTCAATGTTGCCGTTCTCTGCTCCAGTTCAAAAGTTGACGACAGTGGTCCGCACTCAGAGGAAGCACTAACCGTGGACGTTATGAAAAAAGTCCAAAGGCTCAAATGCGGCGATAGAATGTACCCATAATAACAGATCTACCTTCTTCTCCAAACCAACGGTCTCGTTAGGCTAGTTGTCTGAAGCGCCTATCTTGACGCTCTGTGATACGCCTCAGTGGATCAATTGGCCTTCGTCGTGTTCCTCTACCTTCTTCTATCCACACACGACACACACGCAATACCGTCATTGCAGTACAAATTAACACGGCGGCCAATTTTGCGATAGGACAAACCAACATCTCGATAGGGATAATTCTACCCCTGTCAAAGTCTTAGAACTCTAGGCATTTTGTTATGCTTAACACTAGTAAATGAAAAGGCAATAACTAAAATTATCTGTACTAGTCAGCTCTCAGAAACTGTTTTCTTCACAAAACTAAGAGATAACATTTTAACAAAGGTAAACAAAAGGCTAAAGCCTAAATTCCTCCGCGCCTGCTATAAGCAGCATAAAGAAATCCTCTTCATGTAGATTGTTTCACAATATTGATACCCTAGGGACAAAGGAGCGGTCTTTCCAGTTCGGGATGTACGAAGTTCGACACGGTTATGATGAGAGACTGAAGTCATGCGGATCTCTCTGAGAAGGTAATTCAGAGAAAAGTACTTCTTAGCCCTAAACAAATAGCCTAGCTTTCTTACAGCAGCTGTCGCTATATGAGATGTGTTCGAGCCAGATCAATTCCTCGGTGATCTGGACTCCGACCAGCCGAAGTATGTGATTGCCAAGTTTTAGGGATATCAAATTAATGTGAATAGACATCATACAGCTCAGCAGTTATAAACAAAAAATATCCTACCTATTTTTGTTACGAAATCAAAAAAAAGTCTAGAATAAGAAAAGGGATACATGTTCACAAAATCATCATACAAATTACTTACTATATAGATATAAACATAACTTTGTAGTTTTTCTTTATCAGCGCAAATCTTTTCCAAATATGTCTTTTTGAGCTGGTCTAACCTAAAGCATTGTCCTGTTTTTGTATCCTTTACCATCAGATCTGCAAACCTATCGACATGTCCAGATGCTAAAAACGCAACTAACCCAATATTCCTTGATTTTATATACCTCGGTAAATGCCAAGTTTGTCAAGGATGAATCCCGGAATGATTCCATGAATCTTAGTCTGCAACCAAAATATGGCAGATTCATTAGATATCTGCTCTCTGGTCTGAATGTCCTCAAGCTAAAATTACTCTCTCCAGATACAGGATTGTATTGGAGTCCAAAAGCACTAAACTTCATCCTTCGATGAAATGCCTCCTATCGCGCTTACTATCATGACTCAACTGCATCTACGCAGCAGTGAGTAGTCATATCTCGCATCAGTATCATTGCTACGCTAACACGACCATTTTTATTTTTATATTTACTTAGTAATAAATATGTATTCCATAAAACTCACATTTCAGAATGGAATCTGCGCCTGGTTAGCGAATCTTCGTCCACGATTGTACGAATCAACACCATCCCTCGAGGAAATCAGACGGAACACTGCCTGAGGAAGCTTCCAAGCCGAATATTATGCTTTCCTTCCCACAGGATACGCCACTGTTGCAGTCTGCCCTTCACCACATGCAACTCTATCGATCCAGATGGGAGAATTCGCAACTCCCCATCGCTCTTTGTAGTTGAAAACCCGGTCGGTAGTCACACTTTGCACTGCACCGCCTGTAGCTTGCATTTCAAGAGTAGCTCACGACATAGTTTGAATTGCACATATCTCGCGGGTCATAGCTTAACGTAGTATTTGAGGCCACAGATTGCATCAGCAAGATGGGTCAACACTTCCAGACTGTTGCAGCCATGGCTTGCATGAAAAGTCTACTTATGGTCTTTAATTTTGTCTTCTGGGTAAGTCATTAACCATGATTCTGTATGTGCTTCAGGCTCTTGCTGCTACGAACACAAAGGCATGGCATTTATTAGGAAAAAGCATAATATGTCATTCATTTCGTAAGCTTGTCGTCTGCCGAACATATGTTGATTTTTTACTTATTTTTTACTCATCCGGGTCCATACCCGGGCGGAAGTGTCACTTTAATATTCTTTCCCATACTTTCTAAGAGATCATTATTAGCTAACATTGTTAGTTGGAAATTTTCGTGCTGGAGTAAATCTGGGCATACATCAAGTATATGTACAGGTGAAAAAACTGCCATATTACGGGAAACGCATTTTATATTCAAGTAGGTTATGAAATAATTAGTACCTGTTGATCGGAGCTAAAAAATGCAGAACTGGGAGAGCTCTCTCTTATAAGAATCTTGTGTGGCCGACAACCTACACGTCCCTTCGAGAAACCTCTGGAAACGTTTAGCAGTGGATATTTTTTGCGGTGCCCTTATTTGAATCTGTGCAATATTGATCCTAATAGCACTGAAGTTAACCATATTCTTCAGCCCCAGGCAGTATTAACCTCTAGCTCTTATTACAGAAAAGTTATTATCTCCAATCCATCCTCAAATGGTTTGCCAATGTATTTTTCGATACATTTTGTTTTTCCATACGATTTGGGCACCCTCAAACACCCATAAAGGTCTGAGTCAAGGCCATGGGCAAAGACATACTTGAACGTGAAGTTTCTGGTCTTCGTTACATTACCGGTGTCAAGAATAGGGCTTTCCGTTCAAGAGAACTTGACCCTTAAAGGACCTTGAAGTTCATCGTTAAGGTTACGTTCAATGTCACCATAAGATGACCCGTGTCCAACCATCTAACTTTATTCTACAACGTTTTTCTCTAGGAAACATATTTTTCGAGATATCCTGATGTATCCGTGTTTTTGGACGTGACAAAAAATGCCAGTCTCAGCGCCCCCTAGTCTGCTTAAAATGCGTAAAGGAAAAAGGATGGTTTTCCTTAATAGATATTACAGTTTACAACTTAAAATAACTTCTAGCATTTCAACTCTTTTAAGCCTCATTTTGCACTTATCTCATCCTGAAACAAACTTTGGCTACACCTTACACCCCAACAGCTTTCCTATGCAAAACACATACTAGACTGATGCTGACCCACTGTTTTACAACAACCTATTTTCTTTTGCAGGTTTCTGGCATTGCTATCTTGGCTATAGGAGTATGGATGGAAATAGAACTGTACAAATACATGGAAATGAGCACCGAATTTAGTGGTACTGCTCCTTACGTCCTTATTGGCACTGGGTCGTTGATTATTCTGATCGGTTCATTGGCGTGCTGTTGCACTGTCAAAGGACAACCTGTGCTTCTATACATTGTGAGTAAGCCATCTGACTAAAAATTCATACTGTGCTACCGCCGGCCCTTTCTGCGTGACGATTTTCCAATGCCGTCAAAATTTTCTAGATCAGTTTATTTATGTTACCGATTTTTATTTTTTCTTTCTTCCTTCATCCTTGCTTCCTGTCTGACTTTGATATCACAATCAAACGGGCAAACCATCAACCAACAGGAGACTTCCTAAGAACTAACCTAAATGGCGAACGGAATAAACCACCTTACTAATGACGTTCCTTTTTGTGCAGTATGGGGCATTCTTAGCAATTGTCTTCGTCCTAGAGGTAGGTGCTGGCATCTCAATCTTTGCCTACCGCACCAAGTTAACCGAAGGATTTGACAAAGGACTCACTCAAGCTATGACTAACTACCAACTGAACACTCCTGAGGCGCAGAACTTCGACCGTATGCAACAAACGGTAATTATTTTCTTAGAGCATTTTTTCATTTTTTGATACGAAATACAACACATAAAAAATAATTACAACCGAGAGTGTCGTAGAACGTATAAACTATCTGTGCGAATTTGAGTTACTCGTGTTATCGATTGAATATCTAAACTAACAGGAAATTTATGACTGTATTATATAACCATTTTTCTGTGATTCTTTGAAACTCGCTTCTTTTTCAAGCTTCAATAGCCAGTTAGACATCATACATACAGGGTGTAAACGATATGGTAGTCATTACTGAAATGGATAATAGGGGAGGTCAAAACAAGTCGAGAAGTTCATATGACCCATGGTCCAAAAGTCAATAGATTTTTGTAAAAATGGCTTTATAGCTTACAACTTTAAGTGCTTTATATCGACCACAATCACCACAATCTTACTAATTTTTATAATCTAATCTAAAACGTTTTTAAATTGGGTCATTAACAAATAAATGGCATTAAGTTTTTCTAAGTTAGGCCAAAATTTGTAGTCAGTAAGTAAGTTACATTAAATTAAATATTTAAAACATACATGACAACAGCGCGTCGGTCTTCTCGAACCGGCAGTCGATCGCAAACGGTAACAGTGGTTAGTTATTGTTTTGCATAGATAAATTACTTTATCGTTTTGTCGAGCGGAGCACCGGGCGTGTTGTTTTGCTTTTGTTCGCATATGTCGTCGTGTTTATTTACAATGTTCTCGAATCAAGAGTTCGCCGACATGTTGTTAGTTTACGGTGAATCTCGTCAGAATTCAAATCTTGCAGCTCAAATTTGTCGCGACAGATTACGCCAACGGGTATACCCAGACAGAAGGACATTTGTGCAAGTGTACCAAAGACTTCGAGATACAGGAAGTGTTCAACCCACTAATATTCGCACTCGTGAAAGACAGGAGACTGTAGAGCAGGAAGAACAAATTTTAAATATCGTGGAAATCAATGCAGATATCAGCACTCGGGAATTAGGCCGCCGCGTAGGTTTATCGCATACCATAATCCATATAATCCTACGGGAAAATTTGCTTTATCCCTACCATGTACAACGAGTGCAGGCTTTGTTACCAGAAGTCTGTCCTCGCAGACTAACATTCTGTCAGTGGGTTTTGCACAAAAACATTGAAAATCCGTTTTTTTAAATATTCTAACGACGGACGAATGTACTTTTACGCGAGACGGGATATTAAATTTCCATAATAGTCACAGGTGGGCCCAAGAAAATCCTCATACCATTCGTGAAGGTCATTTCCAACAACGTTGTCAGGAGAAGGATACCTTAGCTTTCTAGCCAATAACCTACCAGAACTTTTGGAACAGACCTTAGACAACATGCCATTGCAACGGAGACAGAATCTCCGGTTTCTTCATGATGAGGCACCACCACACATTTTTAGAGGCGTCATTCAGTATTTGAACGAACATTATCCAAATCGCTGGATCGGTCGAAATGCTCCTGATCTTCGAAAATGGCCAGCAAGATCTCCTGACCTCAATCCGATGGATGTCTGGTATTGGGGAGAACTTAACGGTATGGTTTATGGGGCTGGTCCAATAACAACTGAAGCACAACTTCGCGAAAAAAAATTTAATGCGGCTAAAATAATAAATGGACAACTGCGAGGACCTAGAGTAAGAGGAAACTGGGTTCGTCGTAATGAAGCTTGTGTGGAAAGTGGAGGATATACATATACAAAAAGGTTCAGTGTGGGTTTTAAAAAGAAAAACAATGTATGTATCAAAAGTACGAGTACATTATCAAATAATGAAAATATACCTAAGAGCCAAAAAGAACAATCTTTATTAACACTGCGTTCCCTCGTAATTTGCGTCTGGCATTGCGGCGTTGTCAGATTTTATTTTACCTTAAAGCCGCTTTTCTCTAAAAAAATGCCGTTTTAACCCCCATGTTATATAAAACTTTTCACTTCTTTTAAGCCCCTCTATCACCCATTTAAATAATGACTATCATAACGCTTACACTCTGTATATGTGTATTTTGTGTTGGAGTACAAACTGGAAACCTATTTTAGAGCAGGAAAATAGACTTTTGGATTCAGCGAGATAGATGAAATTTCGTTTCGACTCTCCTCTAACATTTTTTGAGCCGTACTACTTAAAAAAACTGAAAAAACGGCTGTACAAGACGCAAATTAAATTCTTAAGTGATTTTTTTGGATAATGACATGCAATGATGAGAGCTCTTTATGTGGTAATTAACGTTTTTACCATATTTTTGAAACATTCAATTCAGGGATCTGAAAACATTCATGAAAACTGTATTCTTCAGGCTCTACAAGGTGAAAGTACAAGATATCATATATATTCCCTCGGAAAATCACAGAAATGCATTTTAGGAGCAAATAGACATTTTTTCAATATACTCGTCACTCCAAAATTCTTAAAAAACATATCAAAAGTAAGAATATAAGGCTTGAACGTTGCCTAAAGAGATGTTTTGCTATGTTGGCCTTCCAACGAAATTCCGACGCACCATCCCCATTATATCTTTAACCATCTCCGTGCAAAGATATCTTCAACCAATTCAGTGAAAGACGATTGGAAGTAGCAAATTATTTAAAACACGAAGGGAAATACGTCTTTTGGTTTAGATTCGTGTTCAAAACTTCCAAGATACACAAAAAATGCTTAAGTGTATTCTGATTATGTCATATCTGCAGTATTCAAATGTTTAATCGCAGTCCACAACGTTGAATTTCAGAATCAAATGATTAAGAGACAAGAGATAAATACCAGACGTATCATCACGATACGTCTGGTATTTATCTCGAGCCCAGCCAAAATATCTCGAATGGATAACGTGTCGGGTATTTACCAATATGCACGCCGGACAAGCGGCTTCCACGCCGGACTAATCTGCGAAGGGCTATTAGTTTCCTTCGCGGTTCCGATTCGGGATTGATTCTGAACCACTTCGCATGCGCACTTCAAAAATCGGCGTTCTCGGTAAGAACATTCTGAATTTTTAGTTAGTTCTGCGTTCGCGGATCATATCTAATTGGTACAGAACTGATTCCAAATTGGTCCAGACGGTTCTCAGATTTTTGGTGAGACTAAAAGTTCGATCCGGCTGATCATGCGCATTAGAATCGTTATGGACATTTGATATTTCATCTCCCGCTGCCTCTGTTCGGGTTTAAAGTGTTTAACATATTCTGTGAAAATCTGTCACCTGTGCTTTTTAGTGCTTGCTGTGCCATACATATGTTTTGAGTGTTCCATCTTAAGTTCTTAAGATTCAGTGCTTAAGATTTTGTGCTTAAGATGTCGGACCATTTATCGTTTAGTGATGATGATTTAGAAGAACTATTGGAAGTTATTGAAGTACCGACAACACCTGGAAGCTGTCAATAGTGTCAATCGAATAGCAGCTTGGCAACAGCACAAAATAGAGGGCAAATTGGCAACAGTGTAAACGAAAATCTCGAACTTGAAAATAACTGGACATGCGCATTTTTGTAATTCTGGATGGTTCAGTTTTAGTTCCGAACGGGTTCATTTTTTGACCCGCGAACGCAATTATTGTTGTTATTGGGGTTTTCTCACGGTCCGGCGCGCACCTCACGCCCAAACCTCTAGTCTTGGATCTGCCACTGGAGAGTATAGACGATCGTGTACTTACGGTATTGTCTTTTTTCCAGTGTTGTGTTTTGCCTTTCCTCACTGTTCCGCAATGAATTGAATAAAATTTGAGGGACCCAGAAGTATGTCGATTTTGAAGCAATGGGTAAATCCAAAACCGCCTCTTTCTTCTTCTTATTCGCCGTTTCCATAGCAAGTACATGGCTAGCACTGTCTTCTTTGGCGCTGTGTTCATTTCAATAGGTGGCCTCAACTGAATAGTTAAAATACGGGAGCGCCGCGTGGCGCGCGCTGGACGAAACCGACCAAGGTGTGGAAACATCACGCTTCTCAGGCATGTGCCGGATCGTGTGAAAGAGTCCTAAAGTTTACTGATTCAAAATTTAGTTCCAAGATTTGTCCCACACATACATACAGGTCTAGTTAAAGGATTGTAAAAGTAGTATGTTTATTTTGTTTGCTTTGAAACTTCGCTCTCTATCTCAGCTTTATCGGTATCCACAACCTAGTCACCCTTTTGATTAGATTCTTATATCATTTATTTTGAATCCATTTAATTAGCACGATACCGACTACGGTCACGTATGATGTGTATGTGTATCGTACACACGTAAGATAGTAATATTGTGTTACAAAAGTATGGTGAAATCCGGTGTGAATATATTTCAAAAGAGTTTTTTGATTAGAATCTGATCCGTATTAGACAATCTAAAACTAACTGGTAGTGCGGCATATGTTTTTAATGGTACTTATATATCAATCAAATAGTAGTAAGAATTCAGTGTAATGTTAACATTTTTCTCTTTCAGCTAAAATGTTGTGGAAATCACAAAGCTTCTGATTGGTCAGACTTGATGCCGCCACAGTCTATACCATTATCCTGCTGCATCAAAGAAAACTGTGATACTACGGAAAGGGATCAGATATACACACAAGTGAGTTCCACTAAACATATCATACATCTTATTTCCTGCCAGTAACACTGTAGTATCTCAAAAACTAGCTGTGATCAATATATTGCATGGGATGTTTAGTTACACCTTCCACAACAATCCACAGGTCAATAAAATGTCCCAAACTGATTGAACTGACAATTCTCAGCTATCAATGTGCCCTTTGGATGTCTTATCCACTCATGAAAAAATACCCTCGAGTAGGTTGGCTCTGCACTTCCACACAACGCTGACAATCGCTCTTATTCGGCACAAGTTGCCCCTCTTAGAAAAAAGACATGTGTAACAAAGTAATTCAATGAATTAAGTCAGTCAAATATGCACATAAAATTAATCCCTTATCCCCGCCCATTTAACATTTTTGCGATCTAGAAATTTCTCCGTTACCCTACCGACTATCTGACAACGTTGCGATCACAGCTACTATGAGTAAACCTCGTCAATGTCAGCGGCCAGCTCGCGACAGGTTTCCTATATCTCCATTGAGCTCGGCGCGACTCTTGAAGACATTTCTATAGTTCTGAGCCTTAAGGCTTTATATTCGGGGAAATCTATGTGCGGAATATGCGTAATAGGTGCATGAAAAGGCTGGGATTAAAAGCATGTAAATATACTAATGCCACAATATTGAGATATGTTCTCTCTCAGCCCTTGCCAGCCTCCCACTACCAATACATTATCCCTCAAAAAGAAAACAAAAAATGAGCAAGAGTTTCTAGAACGCCAAAAAACGGAGGATGATTGATTCTTTGTACGCGACGCGTGTATTGAAGATATTTCTGTCTTAAGGGCAAACAGAATTTTAAAAATCAGCGAGGGTCTCTGAAATGTCGAAAAACGAAGTATGAGTGATTTCTATGTTTTTATTCATTTTTTGCCCGTAGCTGAAAGTTTTTTCGTGGAGGAAAACTAAATACTTCCTTCTTGAAAATTGAAGAGCGGGCGTGTTGGTGATCTAAAATTGTAGATCCGAAGGGAATGTCCGAGTCAGCATCAGTACTTCTGAGAGCGGGAATGTCGGTGATAGAAAATTGAAGAAGGGGGCATGGCAGCCGGTGCATCAGTGCTATTACCTCCAGGAGAGATACTCTCTTAAAGTATTGTTGCGCGGAGCCCTCATATCCGTGGGGCACGTAGCATTTGCTACTCTTGCCACTCTCTTTTTAATGCGTAAAGTACACGTCAAGTAATAGCCAAAAAACATAATGGGTGAGGTGAATAAAAGAGAGTAAATGCTTTTACTTCATAATTTTAAAGTAAATTCTTGGTAGTAAGTGATTAATAAAACTTTTACTTGTACTTGTCACGCAAACACTTGCTAACTCGAGTTATTACTCCTAAAGTAACTATTTTCAGTGTTCACGTACGATTGGAGTGAATAACAGCAATAGAAAACTTTACGTATTAAGTAAATACTTTCATTTTCGCAAGGTTGGTTTGATGTTACCTTGCCGCAATTGATAATTTGAAGTGTCTAAATTATGGCAGCATTTATGAATATACGTCTTTAAACAATATCGTGATCGAACAGATATAAGTCCAAATAGTCTTTTAAGGTTTGAAAATGAAAATATCGATTTCACTACAAACTATTTCTTACCAGAAACCAACGAAACTCGAGGTGGTGCTCTGTCCTTAAGAAAATATATTGAAATATTTCTCCGTTATATTAGCGACCCTGGTTTTCAAAGTGGTGTTGCAAACGATTTTGGTATTGAAAGAAAAACGGTTTGTAAGACTGTAGATTATTTTGCACAAAAAATTATGGAGAAGGCAGGTCAATGGATAGTGTTTCCAACAACCGAACGAGATTTAAACGAAGCAAAGACAAGTTGGGTGGCAAAATACAGGATTCCCACCGTAATTGGCGCACTTGATTGTACCCATATACAAATTAAGAAACCTGAAGTGCAGTTTGGCGATGAGTACATAAATGGGAAAAATGTTGCTTCATTAAATGTTCAAATGACATGTGATGCAATGGAAAGGATCACAAGTATAGACGTGCAATGGCCTGGAAGTGTGCACGATAGTAGGATTTGGAGACAAAGTGCTGTTCAACAAAAACTTGCAAGATTCCAATGGAATGCTTGCTTGCTAGGGGACAGCGTATATGGTATATCTCCATCGCTTTTAACACCATTTAGACAACCACAAACTGAATCAGAACGGCGGTACAACAGATTACCTTCAAAAGAAAGAGTTTTAATAGAACGTGTATTTGGCCAACTAAAACAGCGCTTTCCAATTCTAGCAAATAGGATTAGACTCCCAATAAGGAACGTACCGAAAATAATCATATGTTGTGCTATACTTCATAATATTGCTAAGTATTTGCAGGATGAGTGGGACTATGGAATAGAAAATAAAAACGACGATCATGATGCTGTCCCAGAAATTGTTGAGCAAGAGCAAGGAGACATTAGACGTCTTGGTGAAGAAAAGCCCTTAGAAATAGTCCAAATAATAAATCAGTTTAATTCAATTTAAATAACAAAATATGTTTCCAACATATTTATCATAGTTAATAGGTATCAAATAAAAATTATGTAGCTCTTAAATACAGTTATTCTACACGATACTATATTTACTCGTACCAAAAGTTCTGATACATATTATACATGAGAAATTATAGATAAATTCTAATTATTCATAAATGTGTTAGAAAACTTACTTTAACAAAAGAAAATCTTGCAACCTAAATTCCGAATTAACTAAAGGATCGTCATTCTTTTAGGTATTAATAGCTTCGTTTTCTTGCTGACGTAGGTTTTTCAGTTGGAGTTCCTCTTTTTCAATTTGTAGTCTAGTTAGTTTCAGCTGCTCTAGTAGTACTAAGCGTTGAAATTCAGGAGTTGATAAACCTACAGTTTTTTCTGTTTCTGCTGCTAACAACCTGTGTTTTTTAGAATTGTGGCCCCTGGACACGGAAGAAATATCTGCAGCATGTTCTTTGCGTAAAATATGTCTCTGCTGATTACACTTTCTTGTTTCTGTTGTTGCTTCGCTTACATTTAACTGTGTGGGAAGTAAAACACATTTATTACTGGAATCTAGCCCAACTGTTATTGCTCCTGGTATTTTACTGTATACAGGATTTTCTTCAGCATTTAAAATTTCTCGAAAATCTTTTTCCCATTGAAGTAGCTTGATTGGCGTATTTCCTGTTGATGACAAGTCAGTTTTTTTCTTAACAGTGCTTTTCATATTGTTAAGAAGTTTTTTCAACTGATCTACAGTTACGTCTTTCCCTGTATATTTTATGAATTCCTCTCTAATTATCATCCAGACGGTTTCTTTTGCTGAAACCATTTTTGGTACCATTGACTTATTTAGTACTATTTTATTGTTTTCTAGCTGCAAGATTCTGACTAGCTATGCTCGGTTATCAGAAACAAGTTTCGGTTGTTTACTTTCTTCGTCACTAGAAGACATCCTAATTGTTAGTATTCTTGAGCTTTCTTGTGTCCGACTTAAAATAACTTAGTTAAACAAAAATATACAGAAACCTAAAGAGATTTATACGACGCGTAAGGTCTACAAAGCAAATACTCGTAAATAAGACGATTTAAATATGTGAATAAGGATAAACAAGCTAAGACTTGCACTCGCCGCAAGTATTACCTCAATATTAACAAGTAGACCTTTCTGAGTCATGCCTTACAATTATTCACTCATTGCCAAGAATTTGCTTCAACTCTCAAGGCAACACTTTTCTCGTAAGTAAATGCTTATGAAGTGCTTACTTGGTTTTATTCACCTCACCCATTATTCTCAAAGTCGCTCAGAATTCTAAGATACTATACGAATAGGAAGTTGATCTTTGATTGGAACGCAATGAAGCGATCTATTTGACCTAAATTGTGTAATGTTAGTATTGGTTGTCGTCTGTTGTCAGAATGAGGCATATTATCCTAGATTGTTTAATTTTTGAGCTGAATAAATAGTCCCACATACCGTCAGAAAAAAATACTGTTAGAAACTAATCCATGGCAAGCCGAAAACCTAAAATCAAATGCTGGACATGCTGGACCGAGAGTCCAGCAACCGGGTGCAGTTGTAGCCCATATTCTGACAAGCCTACTAGAGATCAACCACAGCCTTCCATTTGCAATTTTGTTGATGTGCGGTTTTCTAGACCAAGTATTCAACAATATAAATGATCCCTTTAAATTTTCTTTTTCGGCACGCTTCAGTAAAATTGTATTCATAAAAAACACGTTGAGTTTTCCCTTAGATATCATATCCACAGCAACTGTAAGGCCTTTTTTGTGAAAGATTGACTAATATTTTAAATATTTGGCCAGGGTACCCTATGAAGCTCACTTTACCCTCCTAAGATTGAAATCCTGGGAGCACCACTGGGTAGCTCTTACATTTTTCTATAACTCTACAACGTTTGACATTGTGATCCGTATTTTTATCCCTTCTTATGCATGTTCTACTAATATATTGTTCTTTTTTAGGGTTGTTATAACAAAATTGTGGATTTCTTAGGAGAGAACATAGGAATTGTAGCTGGAGCAGCTGTTGGTATAGCATTCTTTCCTCTGGTGGGAGTTATACTGTCTTGCTGTCTAGCTAGCGTGATAAATAAGGCTAAATACGAACAGATGACCTAAACTTGATTGGCCTAAGATTTTAGAGAACTGAACATATATCATCAGTATCTTCAGTATATCATGTATGCAAGACTACCTTTTGGTAACGCTGTATTTTTTATATCACACGTGTGCTTCTTGAAATGCATGGTTGTAACACGGAAATATTAAAAAAAACAAGAACATATTAAAAAATATAAAAAACCAGACTGCAATAACTGAAAAATGGTTATTTCAATTGTGATGTCAAGACAAGACGAATCTAAAGATACATCAAATGTCAAAATATATAGCAGGTAAAATAGAAATTTATAAGTTGAAGTTTGCGTTTTAAGTCCGTCATTCTGTATTTATGAAATTTTAATACACAGGGTCACCCGCAGTGTCAAAACAAATCTATAGGTTTTTCCAGGGTTATTGGAGAGTCACAGCAAAAATACAGGAATCATTTTCATACATCCATCTTCCTCGCACATACTCGTAGATATGCAGTCGATCTCTATTTGTGGAAGTTGTTGTGTAAACTCAAAAACATACGTTTTTTAGTTGTCTCACCGCCATGAAAATTTTCTCGCCAACTTATTAGTCTTGCACATTTATGGCAACTGGCACTGTTAACGTGAAAGCTTGCTTTTGATGCTTTTCATGTGATTTGTGTTTACCCACGTTGATCTTCGATATAAAACATAGTTAGCCCTGAAGATACAACTGCAACGTCGACAGTCTGTATTAAAAGTATTTTCAGAAAGTGAGTGAAAACGGTACTCTATCACCCAATTCTTATGTGGTGTATGTGCAAGAGTGAGTAGCAAACTGAGTTACGAATCTGGATGTGCATTGTCCAATTTCCCTTAGGAAAGTTACCATCAATCTGAAAACTCATTTCATATATTTGTAAATCCACCAAGCCGTTTAGACTGTAGCCCGTGAAATAGAATTATTCTTGTTCACCTACATAGATTGAATACATAGACAAATATGCCTCCTTCTGATGCATTCGGGTAATAAAATGACCAAAACGTAACTTTGGCAGCCTGGAATAATCAACACACGATGACCGATTAGTATATTTTGCCATATGTAACGTCAGTGGACAACTAACAAATGTCAATTATAAGCTCTGCTTAAACAATCTGACATGATTCTGTGTGATACGATGATATATCTCATGTGATTTGAGCGGCTATTTGTCCCGCTATGAATCGACCCCCTCTAACTTTTTGCTATGACCGTTTAAAAACATATACAATATGTATACAGGGTGTTCCATAATTATTGCGACAAAATGATAGGGGTTGTAGAGGGCATCAAAATGAACAATTTTGCCTTATAAACCCCTGTTCGGAAATATGCCGTTTGGGCTGCAGCAAAAAAAAAGATCAGTTTCTTGAAACATTAATTACTCAAAGTGTCCTCCACCTTGCTCAATACACAGCTGTGTACGATTGTTCAATGATCGGCGAACTCTGTGGCATACCCCCGGTATGTCCTGAACATGTGCGGACTCTTCCCAGTAGCTCTTGTTGGTTGGGAACAGGAGTTTCGGACACTAAAGCTTTCAGGTCGCCCCAGAGAAATTAATCCATTGGGGTCAAGTCGGGTGACCCCGCAGGCCAACGCACAGGGCCACCTATTTGGAAATTTGTCGTCCAAATACTGCCGCACTTGTAAAGAAAAGTGGGCTGGAGCGCCATCGTGTTGAAACCACATGTTGGCTCTTATGTTCAGTGGCACATTTTCTAATAGTTCTGGTAGCACATGCTGTAAGAATCGACCATAAGCATGCCCATCCAAATGTGGTGGAAGCAAATATGGCCCGATGATATGCTCGTCCACAATGCCGCACCAGATGTTAATTGGAAACTGATGTTGGTCTCTATGGATGGCTATGGCATGAGGGTTTTCTCCATCCCAAATGTGACTGTTACGGCTATTAAAATAACCGTCCTTTGTAAAACAGGACTCGTCAGTGAACAAAACGTAGCGAGCAAAGTTTGGTTGCCTCAACTCCTGCTGCAGCCACCAACGACAAAAACGTCGACGCGGCAGATAAGTCTTCTGGACCCATGGCTTGGACTTTTAAAAGGTGGTATGGGTGTAGTTGCTCGTCATGGAAAACCCGCCAAACAATAGTTTGAGATGCTCCCATATCATGTGCAATAGCACGCACGCTTGTAGGCGGATTGGCCGCTACATGATGCAGAATCGCTTCCTCAAATTCTACTGTGCGCCTCGTGAAGGGCCGCCAGCCTCCCGCGACGTGTCTGATGCTGCCACTGACACGAAGACGTCCATGAATCCTTGCAAAAATGACATGATGCGGATAAGGACGTTCTGGAAACCGTTGAGCGTAGATTCGCGAGGCTCGTCTTCCGTTACCACCAGCTTCTCCGTAAATTAAATACATATCCGCAAGTTCCGCATACGAATAACGCTGCATTTTAACACTAAGGTACTGTTATTTACCTAGTTTGACGCACCACTCAGATAAATTACATGAATCGGTGTGGAGAATTTACGATAACAAAAATGTAAACCGGCGAGACCATGAAATGAAATGTGCTAGACGAACATTTTGCAGCTGGTGAATTTTTTGTTTCTCCTATGAGCTCTTAAGGTAAAATTAGCGGTAGTGCTCAAACGGCATATTTACGAACAGGGGTTTATAAGGCAAAATTGCATATTTTTATGCCCTCTACAACCCCTATCATTTTGTCGCAATAATTATGGAACACCCTGTATACAAAATTCTAATTTAAAAATAATAGTCGGTTTTTCTGTAGTTCCAAATATATGTACGAGAGCAGTCCGATAAGTACTTGGCCTACAAATGGTACCGTTCCACACGCGTCAAAGCAAAACTACGAATCCGATGTGCTTTAACAGAAGCCGTCTGGAATGTACAGTATATTCAGATAAGAGATAGACCGGACATAAACAAGACCACGTGATCATCGAACGCTGTAACATTCGGCAGGGACGTATTAAGAGTCACGCAGTACATATTTTAGATAGTAGATGCTGCTTTGCGTAACTTTGTAGTAAATTAGCACAATTCGATGTGTATACGATTGGTGATGGATATAGGATCATGTGGGGGTGGGGTAAGAAATATATAATGATGTAAATATACATAAGGGTTTCAAAATTTTCGCTTCGATTTCCAGCTTCGGATGCCGCCTGATGTTTGGTGAAATACAGTCGAATATAATCTCAAAATGGCGTTTAAATTAGCCTAAATTAAAAATAACCGTATATCTCTTAAAATTGCTTTTAGAATATTGATTAGTATATTTTTTGATTTCTAGGTAAATATGTAACCAAATTAAAACGTTCAAAACGTAAAAAAATGTGCATGGTTGAACATTGTCAGAAAGTAGATTCTTGAATAGGTTTTGCCAAAATGGGTTCAAAAATGTCAATAATTAATTAAAAAATACAGTAGCTTTATAATTACTTATAACTTACCGAATTTGATGAACGACATCTTTTATTGGAAAGATGAGCTTGATGAGCTTTCATCATCGCTACTGCCTGAAGCACCAACGTCAATAATGAATGGCTCGACTTGTTCCTCTAAAATATTGTCCAGTTCCCACATTCTCTTTTCAACTTTGTCTTTCACGTGCTTAATACAGTTTTCCCATTTTTGCGCTGTTATTAATTCTAGTGCTTCTTTGAAAAGTCCTTTGAGGTCACAAAATTTAAAAGTTGTATTGTGCTTAGCTACATAATTTTTAACCTCTGCCCATATGAACTCAATGGGATTGAGCTCGCAATGGTATGGAGCTAAACGGAGCACAGTTTTATTTTGACTTGCTGCCATTTCGTCAATGGCGTATTTTTGATATTCCGCCTTGTGATCCTTGACAATTCTTAATAATTGTACTTTCAGCATTGCTTCTTCAAATTTGATATTTTTCGAGCGGAGCCAATTTTGAACATCAACTTTCCTTGAAGCCGTTGTTGGGACCTTCTCCATTCTTCGAGAATGATAAGGCGCATTATCCAACACAATTACTGCGTTTTCCTCTAAGTTCGGTAAAATTTTTGAAAACCACTGTTCAAAGATTCGCCATTCATTTCCTCGTGGTAATTTCCAGTTTTCTTAGACTCAAAGCACCACAGACCGTCAACAACAAATCCATCCTCACTGCCAATATGGCAGATAATGAGCCTTTTCCCTTTACCTGGAAATCGAAGTACTAACTGGTGTAGATTTATTTCAATAAGCGAACCTTTTTCAAATGTTTTCATCACATTCAGCGAAAAAATATTGAGACATGAGTATCAGATTGCTATAATTGGGATTATTTAGTCATATTGAAAGAAAGAATATTGAACGATTACTCAGCGCTTCACAATTTAATTTAAAGTTATAAACCTTTAAAAAATGAATGATCAGGAACCTGAAACACGCGCAAATATTAATATTAACAAATTATAACTTTATAAAGCTTAAAGTATGAATTAAAATGATTAGAAATATTAGGAACGGTACACAATATAAAACTTAGTAACTTTTTTTAAGTTTATAATATTCGACATATTTTAAGATTATATTAAAAAATTATTGAAATATCGAAAACACATAAAAACATGGCTTAAAAAAGTTCTAACAAATGTTAATGACAATAAAACATCCACGCATTTTATCAAAAGTTATAAAAGTTTTGTTACTTGTAATATGTTTTATCTGCCCCCTGGAATTAATATTTAGAACCTTGTTCCCAAGGTTTGAAAAACATCCGATTGTTGTCTATTACTCGTATTTACCTGCTGGATTTTTTAATCCGGTGGACAGTCCATCTAGAAAGGCCCTCCTGGATGAAGTTACAGAATCATAAACCCATACTTTACTTGTAGTGTGTCCTGCGTTTACCCACGTTTCATCAAGGTAATAAATCTTCCCGTTTTGATTTCTATATTTCCCAATTTTTGTTAAATAATCCCTCCTCCATAGCACAATTTCTTCTCTATCCAGTAGTAAACTATTTTTTCCATTTGAAATTTAAATGCTTCAGTAACGCATGGAAAGTTGATCGTTTGAAATTTGGCAACGTGGTATCTCCATTTACCTCCTGCAGTACTTTATCTATAGTAGGTATTTCATCCCTAAAGAAGAATTCATGCACTTTCCTCCTAATCGCATGCTTATCAGCTTCATCCAATGATTTAACAATACTTTTGCGATGTTTACTGGTCATTGGCTCAGAAAAGGTGTGATTTTTTTTGTATTGTCTTAACACATTAAACACTGATGCGCGTCACACCCCAACTTTGTGAGAAACCTTCACAACAATTTCTTTGATGGTTGATGCCTCGTTCTCCTCGCGCTCGATCTTATATATATATTCAAAATGACCTCTTTCATTTCTGCACTCAGGTGTCTTTTTTTAGAGCGTTTACTAGGTGGACTACAGGAGTTTACAACTTCATCGGCAGTATCTGTACTGCTGGGCATTTTGCGCAAGCAGTTGATAACAATAACAATCAATAACAAGGTATAACAATAACAACGACAAACTCAACAACTTAATAAGATAACAAACGAAAACGTCCAAAGAAATATCAAATTGCAATGATGCACACGACATACGTAACACGTCTGAACCTGAATGTGACTCTGCCTTGATACGACTGCTCTGCCGCTCGGCATAGGCATTTAATTGCGAATTGACCAATGAGGGCTCCTGTTTTACGTCGAGACGGCGGCGTTAGCGTGAAAATCACCCGAACCTTTTGTTTACATCCGGTCTATCTCTTATCTGAATATACTGTAGTAGTGCCATCGAGAGATAAGGTTAAGTACTTATTGCACCGGCCTCGTATATGGTTTATCAGATTTATTTTCATTGTCAATTCAATCTAGTAAGTATAAGGCCGGATACATATGATTGAATAAAGCTTACGTTTTTAACTAAAGTATTGAAAATAAGTAGGTATAGACAAACATATATGTGTATATTTGGAATCAGAAAAAAACGACTATCGTCTTCACTAAAAATATTCAGTGTGTCCAATTTGAAAAATGAATTTATTCGTTAGCGCTTTTCTATGACACTATGACTTTTTTTGCAGTACACCTTGTACGTTATATGGAAAAACCATATTAAAATGCAGTAAAAAATTATCAGATAGGAGTTCGATGGAAATATGCACAGTTTACTCAATCAACTACAGTTTTTCTCTAATGCATCCAATGTTCTAGTTATACGTGATACTGTCAAATAACACGCAGGTGTTATACTTCAAATCGCTAAAATACAGCACCACTACATTTTTCGAATCTCGATGTACATGCACAGAAAATTTGTTATTGAATTGCATGGATATTTTATTAATAAGATATTATATATGTATTTATCTTGATATATCTATATATTTATAAAAAATCTCATTATACATCCAAAGTATTTGTTGTGTTTTAATATTTGTATTGTATTGGAAAATGTATGAGCAATTACGTGTTACAAGCTATCTGCCCGGGGTTTTACCCATTGAGGTGTAGATGGCGCGACTAAGAAAGGAGGCAAAATTCCCAAGCATGCAAGTTGGCTGTCAATTTACAAATTCCATCAGAGGTACAAACTTGATTGGAAGTTCATAGCAGTACTTAAAAACAATGTTTAGCGTTCGTAACAGCTTCAAGCGTACGAAGTCGCGGGTAACTGGTTGCGTAGGGCGTTCGCTGGCCGCGCTGTTGCCGGCTTGATGCTGACGTTCTAGATTTTGGTTCTTACCACGACAGTTGATTGCAAAATCGGCGCTGAGTTCGCAGATAATACCATACTTATAACATAACCTTACGCGGGTATCAATAATGCGGGTCCCACACGATGCTTCCAACGTTGTATACAAGGTTGTTTACAACGTTCGACACCCCACAATTGGCAAGTGTGTCTCCTACACGATGGGACGTTTGACACATGGTGGTGCCAACGTCTATTATCGGTGTCACTGCTTGAACCTTCACAACTGAAGAAAAAATTATACAAAATAAACGATGAAACCAATTTTTTCGAGTGCGGAAAAATAATTTCAGATCTGTCCTCAGCGGCCAAAACTTGAGTGTCATCAGCCTCAAAAATGTCCAATAACGAAGTTTGACCGTTTTTTGTTTGTTTTCCGACGATAGCTCCACGTCCACTGTACCGATTTTTAAAAACTGCAGAGCTTTTTCGTCATTTTCATAGTAGTAACCTAGGGTCAAAATTTCATCAAAACCGTGATAGTATTTTCAGAGTTATAATTTATTTAATCTTTTTCGTTAGTTATGAAATGGAAGTCAATATATTTCTCAACTAGTCTTGCATTGCAACAGGACATTATAATGAAACAACTGTAAGCACTTGATAATTTATAATTTACTAAAATACGTATCCTTATGCGACCCGTAACTCGCCGCTACTGTTTCTAACCTAAAACCGTCAAACACATGACATCTCGTGTGGGAACGTAACGAACCAAGCTTCCAACGTTGTAACGTCCTTTGACGCGGGTCAAATTTACCGACAAGAGCCCTAACGTGCCATGTGGCGAACATGGACACATGCAATCCGTCAGCGCTCTCCCACACGATGTGGCGAATGGCCATGTGTCCAACGTTGTAAGGCATTCGCCACATCGTGTGGGAGCGGTTTAAGTGTACATGCTATACCTAATTACCTATACCCTATTTCACGAGTATCCATCACGCTTTGACGTCTACTGAGGTGAACAGCTGATCAGCAAGTGACATTTTTGTCTTAGTAACTGCAACGTTGACAATAATGAATCGGGTATAAATGTAGTACGACTTATTTGTACCGTTTTGTTTTTGTATGCAAATAAACTTTTCTACATAAAAGACTTGTTAGCATGTACAAAATGAATCTGTAGCCTACAAAAGAACAAAATAAACAAAACTCTGACTACCTGGCGTTGACGGATCCGTCAGAATTATGTGCCCTATGCCAATTTTGGGAATTGTGAGTTGTTACTAGATAATCAGCTGTCATTCTACCGTGATGAATACTCGTGAAATAGGGTATATTTTTACATCTCTAGTTTTGTGGTCCAGACGTGATGCCGGCAGACTCGTTTGGCAATCACATTTATATATAGAGGAAAAGATCACGGATCACACAACATTAGTGTTTGATAGATAATAGATAAATGCACCTTACCCGCCTAGCAGCGTTAAAAATTGTATGACAACCCAATAACTACTCATACTTGAAGTAAAGCAAAACAACAAACAAATCGGAATCAAGACGGTCACATCAAGAAGACGAATGTCGAAATTCAGTAAATGCACGATACAAATGCTCTATTTATATAGCCTTACTCATTTCGGTCGGACCAGCGACTGAGCGCTTCCGAGCCAGACACCTCATGTCAAATGGATATTTCAAAGTTATTTCCCAGGGTAGATATGTGCTATTCCAGACTATAGTCTATATCTGTACCAAATTTTATCCAGATGCGTCCAGCGTCCAGCCATTTTGGTGCGATTGAATAACAAACACCCACACATTCTCATTTATAATAAAAGGCAAGTAGGATTATAATATTAGTAGGGGAAGTAAGGATTCGGCGCCTCCGAAATTCCATGGAGTGTTGTGTATGGGCTACAGCGGAAAACTATATTGGAAATTGAATATCCAATACAACCACAGAACACATAACTCTGAAATATCACTTTGTGTTAAAAATGACCTTAACCACTTGACATGGGCTGCTGATTTTTCATAGGGACCATCCTGGAAGTTTCTTCGAGTATAATGGATGAGCTTTCTCTTACGGATATTAACTGCTCTCGCTCGATATGTGAGAACTTTGCTTGTAGAGTAGTCGTTAAGCCAAAAATGTGTCTTATCGCTGAAGATATTTGCCAAAATGAGGATTGTTTTCTATTTCCGGCTATTTTACCCCATCTTCTAACGGCCGACAGCTTCTGAAGTCTTCAGGTCTCAGGAATACTTTACCAGTTGAATCTGAGATTTTACTAATAAATCGACAGATTGAGTCTGCAGAAAGAGTAAACTGTTATGTAAACGATGAGATATCAAGTTGTGCGTACAATTTCAGCACTCAACAAAGCAATATGGTCGGTTTTGCCTGTGGATCAATGCACTACCTAATCAAAGACTGAAACCCAGTCCTCGAATTGAAATGTTCTTTTAGTTAATCACTGGAGATTTTAGTCAAATATCTGATGATTCGTGAAAAGTCTAGTGATGAGGACAAAAATCTTTGTAATGAACCTCATGAATTATATTAAATCATTCAGCACTCGATCGTGAAATGGAGTAAGTAATGACCATGCATTATCTTAAAGCACCTTAACTAAAATTAGATAAAGTTACAGAAAAACTCCTTATATGGAAGACAGAATAGAAATTTGTTCCAGATTAAACTTAAGAATGAAATATGTGAAATCGATGTTTGAAGTCCGATGGGTGTAAGAATTAGGCAATGGTACAGGAAAAGGCGGCGATTCATAAAAAACATCATTTATTTAGAAATAAATACGATTTTATAAAAAACTAGCTCCTCAAATGAAAATAAATTCTAAATAATTTAAGCACTCTGGCAAAATGCTATATTATCATCATTAGTAAAATAGCAATTTTATAACCATAATCTATGGACAGCTTTAATGTGAAACCAATTCACCAATATCACCAGTGTCAACTATATGACTATAATTTGTGCATCAAAAAATTCAAGCTATTAGAGCAAATGTTTAACTACTAATAATATTAGGAAATGCAGGTTGGCCAAAAGAACAAGGTGTTTTGTTTTGACTGCAATATATGTATAAAAAATTATAAGTTACTTACTTGATTGTTATGTATTACAGGTTGAATTAAATAGAGAAATTAAAGATTATAATCGCTCAAGATGTGGACGATTAAAACATACTGTGTGTCAATTTACTAAACACTTTCATAATGCTGTTTTTTTTTCAGGTGCAATATGAAGCCAAGAATAATAACTTTCATACCAAGTAGGTATAACTCATGTATCTTAAAACTAAGCTGATGTAATGTCCATTTGTATGTACAGGATGATTCAGAAAAATGTGGCAATATTTGTTGAGCGGAAATTAGTAATAGTTTGACAAATATTCCTCAAGAGAGGCGATACACGTAAAATCATTCGAAAATGGAATAGATATGTCAACAAAATGAGTGGCGTAGAAAATAGCTTTGTAGGGATCAAAAGGAAGAGGCTCGTTCTTTACGGGAATGGGCTTCGGCAAATTTTCTCTTAAACCAAGGAATGTGTTCCTTTTCCCAAGTGTCAATATACACAAAGCTCGAGAGGATCATTGTCAAGATTTATCAAGTCTCAAAGACATACATTGAGCGTAGGGTAGGTGGCAGAGTATGCAAAATATATGCATGTGCTTACGAGTGAAACTAGCTTGGTGTTAACCTCTTTAACAGGTCATGATTGGTTGAGACACACTAGAATATATACTTACTGCTTCATTATCCCATTGTGAACTTTTGATAAAGACCAGAAAGAATTTTGGAGTACCATTCTCATGGTGACCAGCATATCCCAGGTAACATAATACTGAGTCTATGTGGGCACAGCATCCCAGTGTCCTCAGTCCTCACTCTGGTATTACATGTTCAACAGTTGCCTAAGGATGGATCTTAATCTTGGTTAGCTTCCATATTTGTTGCATAGACTATCCATAAATGATACTTGATACTTCAGGAGAAGCACAAATATAATCTTGTTTGAGTTAACTCTGACTCTGCTATTACTAGGTCTAACTAAAAGCCATCATCCCCTATAAGGGACTCCTTCATACTGCCCACACAGCTTCAGTATGTTAGTATCTGGGATATTCCTTTCTGGATGATGTCGAAAACCTACAACTAGATATGTTGAATAGCAAGAATACATAGACTCAAGTGTGTATCAACTATCCACTACCATCTAACTAACAATCATACTGTAAGGAATGTGCCTCATTTCTCAATTTCTGCACCACTGGTGTAATCTCAGGCTCGAATTTTTATATGAAATTTTTGTGTTATTTTTTATCTACCTATGCCATAAATACATTGACACTGTTTCCTGGATCACCCTATATAGAATCAAACTGTAACACAAGAAATCAAGTTCTAATGAGATATTAAAATATTTTTGGCCAGCCTTTGTATATAAAATTCAACAGTATTTTAAAATTAGTAAGTACAGATAACTTCAATGAGGTGAAGTATCAAAAGCATTTTTAATTAGGATAAATTGTTAATTAACAAAAATGCTGAAAACTATACCAGAAAATGGGATTGAATATAATTTCTTCATTATTTGTGGAACAAAATATCAAATTATACTCATCCATAAAGCAAACTTTAAATCTTTGTTCATTGTGGGATTAAAGTGAATTTTCTAAATACTTGCTTTGCATTAACCTTACTCAGCTTTACAAGAGTCCAAAGGTCTTGTCTTAAAATGCATCTTAATAGTGTTTTTAGTTTACCCTATAGCTAAAATCCATAGCTATAGTCCATATTCTGGCTGGGCTTTGGTTGCCTCAGTAAAATACTTAGGCTGTTTTCACTGTTTATCATCTTACAACTTAATTGCTAAAATCTACAACAAAAAAGCCTAAATGCTCTTGCATCAAATCAATATTTTTAGATGACACACAAGCTAAATAGCCTGAGCTTGACTAAATATATCACCAACAGTTTGGCATCTTTGAAACACAGTATTAGCCAAAACTACAGGAACATCTCAAAAATGAAAAGAAATAGGCATGTTATTATAAAATATTGTCTTTCTCTATTAGGTCTTTACATCTAGGTAATCATCATAAGATTGTATACTGGAAAAGGAATGCCATTTTGGCTGCTAGCCTAAGTCACTGACTTTGAAATATAGCTATATATTAACATTAAGACTAATATGTGTTTACTCAAGTTTTGGCCAACATGGACATTTTATGCCATCAGCATTTGTTTGATTTCATTATTTTCAGCAGATTCCAAGTATGTCTTTCCATCAGGTGCCACTCCCTCCTTTTTAGCACCTTTTTCCAATAGGAGTTTCACACAGTCTTTATGTCCTTCCCATATTGCAGCTAATATTGCAGTAATACCATGCTTATCTTTAGACTGAAAAGAAACCAGAATGTTTACCCCATAGATCCAAAACAAAAAATTAGGTTAATTACGGGTATCAAGGTATTCAAAGTGACAATACACTTTTTTAAAGCTAAATCCTGTAATCTCACCCATATAGCCATAGAAGCTAATAAGCTAGGTGACAACTCACAGGTTTTACGTACCTTTTGTTCTCATAAAGCTTAAAAAAACACCTATGAAGAGTGTGATTTATAACTTTATGAAAACAGAAGTTATATGTAAAAACTGTAAGTTGGCACCTATCTGTTCAGCTTTCAGTACCTTATGCAAAAAATTACACAATATAATTCAGTATAAAAAGAAAAATTCCAGTTAAAAATGAAAATTCCTTCATACCCTGTGAACCCAGCGCTGAGAAAAAATTAGTTTTGAAGATCCTGAGCATCTACTTGCATAACTGAGTTTGAAAGTGCATTGTTGATATAGTATCAAGTGTGTATTATAAAGACTAATTTCTACTGCAGTCACATGAGGGGTAATCTGGAAAACTGGAGGTAGATGGTGATAGTTATATTGAAGCTCAAGTCTAAGTTTACAAACACACAAATGTGGCGTTTAAGCAGCCCAAGTCAAGAATTTTTGCTTTTTTCCATTGCTGTATGGGGTGGCAAACCTTAAGAGGCCTAGGGCACTAAACACTAAAATATGATACTGACTACAGGAAAAAGTGTAACATAGCTGATGATAGACAATCATTCCTAGGGTTATTTAACATGTTAAACGCCAAGAAAAATGTCCGTCACAGCAAAGTTCAATTTTGTGTCATTTGTTCTGCTTATGACTTACAGTATGTAGAAATATGTTTAGCGGTCCCCAGAGACTGATGTGGTGTGGTGGGAAACATATGCCTAGCACAAGACAGAGGTCAATATCTAACGCTACAACTAAATACAAAGCGGTCCATATGGACTGAGTGGCGTGGTAGGTCCATTGTCAAGCGGTCCCATGGGACTGCTGTGGCTTTTAACATGTTAAATGGTCCATTATCCTAGGTTATCTAAGCAAATATGAGCATGTCTTCACAACTTAGGTCCAGCAAGGTAATTTCAGCCGCAAGATACAACAACTTGTACCATTTTATGGAAAAAATGGCAAACCTGGCAACTATAGGAGGGGGGTGCCCCTCTATAAATGCATCCTTGTGTGTAGTATTAGATATGCTGTGATTGAATCATGATTTTGCTCTGACTTCGTAGTACTCAAAGGCTCCTATTAGCTATAACAAACAAATCTGCCTGATAAATTACTGATTCAAATGCACAAGATCGATTAGTTTACCGCTATCAAACCATAACCCGTTAACATATACCTACTTTGATTTTTTGTTTTCAACTTACATTAACATCGGCTCCAGCAGATATCAAGTAGTCGATGACGTCCTTTTGTCCATAATCGGCGGCATACAAGATCAACGGACGTCCATCCACTTCTTCATTTACATTTAAGGACTAGAAAAGTTCAAATCAGGCTTTTAGAAAAAAAACAGCCAGTTAAAAAGTTGGTACTAACCTTTTTCTCTATAATATCTTTTACTTGTTCTAAATCACCGTTTTTGATGGCCCAAACAAAATCACTACTCATTTTTACAGAAACTTGCTGCAATTTTCTCAAAAAATATGAAAATGAGGTTGGACGTTCGATGACAGATGTCATGTGTTTACATTTCACCACATCCAGTGTTGCCACACAACATATGCACGGTGTTACTGATATGTCTTCCGTCGACTTGTATGAAATTTTTCGGTAGACAATAAGCCAAAAAGAACAAATTTGAAATTGAAGATGAAAGCAGCTTGCTAGAGCCTCACTTGGTTTTGGAAATTAAAGGGCGGAAGTGGGGCGGGGTAGCATCGAATGTTGCTATTTAAAAATTTGAAGTGGGTAGAGATGCACCAAATCGAAAATTGAAGAGCGGGGGTGGCATTGAATTGTATTAGAAATGCACTATTTAAGAATTTGAGAAATTTCCCGGTAGATTTTGCATTAAAAGATATAGTTCGGTCGAACAGTACTAAAATCGGTAGATCTACCGAAATATCGGTAGATCTATGGATTCAAAGCACAAAGTGATTCGGTGTATTCTATAGTTGTGGCCACAAAACACTAGCTATGTTTATGTGGAGTCATATTTAATTCATTTCACATTTCGATCACCAAAATTTACTTCGGAGCCTAGAAACGGTGTCAAAAAGGGCGGTCAAAGATAATGTCACCATATTCACAATTTTGACTGAAATGAGCTGTTATACCTATATAATTCAGTATTCAGTATTGGCATGCGCTTCACTGACATTAAACGTCAACATACGTAAAAATCAACACTTGTTTTGTGCTGTAAGCAGGGTTGAGAACCCTACAATTTTAACTGTAGATTTACAGTTTTTCAAAAATCTTCCAAGTTTTCATTTCGGGCCTTCAAAGCTACAGTTTTTCGTTAAAGATGCTCGCGCCTTCTGTTTTGATTTTGCATTGTTGGTACATGAGAGCACTGACAAATCGACGATCAAGCATTTAGCTTTAATAGCTGGAGTCGTCAACTCAAACGATGAAGTACAAAACAAATTTCTAACTTTGATACCAATAATTACCGACGACTCAACTTAAGTTTTGTACAGTCGAATAATTTATTGAAAAAGAAATCCCATAGACCCATAAACAAAGAAAGCATGTGGGCATTTACATCTGATGGTGCCAATGTCATGTTTGGAGGAACTAACTCAATGGTAACTCATTTGAAAACAGCAGCGGTGGCCACAGTAGGAGACTCTTCGGTCTCCTGGTCAGTCGCCGAGCGCTGTGCGGGTTCGAATCCCGTCCCAAGAGAAATTGTTCTCTTGGCTATGGATGTTGTGATTGTCCGTAGGTGGTAGGGTAGACGGTCTCTGACTGTCGAACGCAGAGGTACCACCCGGCGGATCTCGTATGCGGGGCCAAAATGTGTGCATGTTGCATGTACTCGTGTTCCCTCGCCAGAGTCCGTGTGGCATTCCCCCTTTCCCCTGTATCCTCCTATAGCCCCAAGGTACTCCATGGGGCCTTCGTGGTAGTTGGAGTATAAAAAAAACGATATACCGAATCTTTTTACCATGAAATGTATATGCTATTTATTTGCGCATCATGTGCATGTGAAAAATTACCTGGAGGCATTAAAGATTTTTGCCATGAAGTTTTCAATTTACATCCAAAATTCACCTAAAGGCATTGGCGATTACGAAACGTTTCAGGCGTTTGCAAATATAAAACCCCATAAATTATTGCGCACTGCACAAACCTGGTGGCTCTTTTTGAATGATGTTGTAATCAGATTGTTAGAGCAACTTTCAGCTATAAAGTTGTATGTTTAATCAGCAGTTTTCACAGATCGTCTTCTTTCCGCTCAAGGCATTTTAACAAAAGCTCTGAAACCGAAAACTGAGTTATACTTGGAATTTCTTCGATTTGCGGTACCAATATTCACAGATTTAAATATAAAGAATTGCAGGCAGAAAAAACAAAGTTGCACTTATTATACGATCAGATCTACCCAGCGTATCTCTCAATTTTCGAAAGCTTCATACAACCTTTTTTTATCTAGAACTCACTGAAGAAGAGAAAATTAAAGCCAAATACATTTAAGACGCTAAAGAAAAGAAAGTGTGAAACAATCTACAGATATCTACAGTTTTTTTTTCAAGCTCAAATAATTTTTCTTTCGGATGGGGTTGGCAACGCTGGCTGTAAGCTGTAACCACAAAAACTTAAGCCTAACCTACAACGGTGCTAAAACGTTTGGATGTTTGGAAAGTATGGAAAATATACTATTTTTACGAATTCTGCTGTACTGACTATTTTTTAAATTTTCTCAAAATGTCTGGGTTTAGTGGGGCGCTGCAGTTAACAAACTTGGACGATTTCATAACACCCTCTCAAGAATGCATCAAACCAGTGCAGGTTGAAAAAAAGAACACTTCTACTGGGTCTAAAATAAAAATACAAAAAGAAGGCTACTTTGAGGTAGACGATCAAGGTGTCAGCTCAAAGTTAGAGAAGGTAACACACCAAAATGTATACCATACACAACTGACATTGAAAGTGTAAACGGCAACACTGGGTCTGCGCTGACCTCCTGGTCTCGAGACTGGGCCTCTGACTTGATTCTCCATCTGATTAAAGGCCATATCGTCAGTCGTTCCTACATTGTAGGTCGCCTTTGTGTCAACGTCAGCGATCTCCTATTGTGAAGTTATGTTTTCTTTTTGAAATGTAGGAAATTAAGGCTGATAGAACTTGATTTAAATCAAAATCATGAACAAAATATCGCAAATAGATACTTGTGATATAACCTGAAAATGGCAAAGTAGAAAACTATGAAAATCCAGGAGGCCATAAAGGCATCCTACAATTGTAGAAACAACTGATGATACAGCCCTAAATCACCCACAGCTGGGTGGTGGGCCACCACATGTCTGATGTTGCCATAACATCCATTTACATCTCCTAATAATCCTTATAATTATTCATATGACAACAGTATTCTGTAAGTTGGGACTTTCCTTTTCAGAAGCATCGATACTTGTTATGCATGCCGATTTCAAACTGCAAAATTCACTGTGAAGTCACCATTTGATCCAAAAAGTTTATGCTCCATGATCCTGTAAATGTATTTTGTACAACATAAATAAGCCTACACAGCATCCTATTGAGAATGTCCTGGTAAAAAAACCTGAGTATGCAAAGCACCATTGCTATAGGAATGTGCCAATCTTGTTTCAAATCTGAATAATAAACGAACAGCTTGGTTTACCTACATGGCGCATGTCACCTAGGTTTGATACATACCTACTCCTTTTGTTTGCTTTTCTCTAAACCTATTATCTTAAGACTGGTTCATGTGTTACTAGGAACATTTGCAAATTTAACTATATACCATATAAAGAATAGTAGGAAAAACATAGGTGATACTGACACCTATGAGTAGTAGCATGGTGAGTGCTTGCAATTAATACTTGCTTGAGTAACATTGAGATGAAAATGTAGTTCACAACCTTGTTTGGCTTCTTATAAGCAGACTCTGTTGTTTAGAGATACTGTGAAACTATGGTTTTCAACTGGCATAGATATGGTTAGTAGTACTATGATTGGCAAAACTACTCATATGTGGCAATGCCACCTGTGTTTTACGCACATCACAATATTGAGCTTTTTTAGACCCATATTTGCTTGTTTGCTTTCAGCCACCTGTCACCAAATAACTCAGTCTTTATTGTTTCAATGACTGCTAATAAGCATGAAACAACAATCTATATGGTTGATTTTGGTCACAGAAACAGAAAGCAAACAGATCCTATTCAGTCTAAAGAAAAGTCCCAACTTTAAGAGCATCTTATGTAATACAAATTGTGACAATATTTTGAATGTACATAAAGTTTGAAAAGCAAGAATAAAACATGTTGCAAGCTCCAACAGAACGTCTCATCAGCTCACCTTTTGAGCCTTGGCCTCAGTTCACCAATTTGGGCTCTATCTTGAATCCCTGTACAGGGTCATAGCAGGATCTCTTCCTTATTTTGTCTTGATAATATTGGATAAACATGGCTTTCTATAGTCTAATTAGTCAGTAGTGAATAAGTAAAAACTGTATTCTGTAGGTGGACATTACTCTAGCAGACTGTTTAGCCTGCTCTGGCTGCATCACCTCAGCAGAAGGAGTATTGATCAGCGAACAAAGCCAACAGGAATTGTTAAAGGTATTTGAAGAGAACCAGACACTGAAAGCAAATGGCAATATTGAGCAGGCCAAATGGATTGTAGTCTCTCTATCAGTACAACCAGTACTCTCATTGGCAGCACATTTCCAACTGTCACCTGATGAGTGCTTCTCCAAATTGACTGGATATTTGCAGAAACTTGGTGCCGATGCAGTTGTGGATATGACAGTTGCTGAAGATTTTGCTCTGCTAGAAGCACAAAGAGAATTTGTGCAAAGGTGAGGACAGCTATTTGGCTATTTCATATTATGTATGCTATGCTGTAGCTTCGACAGAAATACGTGTATACCATACCAGAACAACAGAACACTCACCAAAGCTGACCGCGTGATGTCGGGAGCAGGTAATAGGTACGCGATCTGTCTGCTGAGAACATTTTTTTAAAGGACTAATTTTCGAAGAAATCTGATGTGTGAAATTTGTTTGATAGGAGGGTAGAATTGCCAAGGTTGGGAGCGTATAAATGTACTAACGCCAAAAAATTGAGATAGCTTTTGGCCTTTTTCTCTGTCGCCACTGGAATTACAAAGCTTTTGCGTCCTTGGCATTAAAGTGACATTCAAATCCGAGCGGTACTTCTCAAGTTATAGGATATAAAATTAGCGGACAGACATACAGACCGACGGAAATGAGTGACATGGTTTTCCGCAATATATCTCATTTTCGAAAATTTTTGCCTGCGGATCTTGTATGCAAATTTACCAAGCATCTGCATTGTGATTGAAAGTGTATTGCCTTCGTAGTACGTGAGTTATCTGGAGTTTTTTTCTCTTCTTAAATAAAAACCAAAATATAACCTTATATTATTAGAAACACAAATTGAGATGCCGCCATCTAACTTGATTTGTGCATTTTGCAGCAAGTTTTATAAAGCTAACTTAATGGTGAAACGCGCCATATGTACAAGAACGTTCAGGCATGCTTGTGTCAATCTTTCACTTGATGAAATCAGTCAATAAAATGATTAAAAAACTTGATATTGTCATTGCAAAATGATATCAGGGTACTGAAGGCTGAGAATAATGCTTTGAATTCTGTTGCTCCATCTAATGGTTTCGATTTTGAAGAGATTATTGGAGAGATGAACGAGCGCAATTCCCGTAAGCGGAATATGATTGTATTTGGCTTACCGGAGCAAAATCAGAGTGACCAGCCCCAAACTAGGGCAGACAAGGGTAAAGATGATGTAGCGAAAATTTTTAGAGGGGTAGATCTTCATTTACAGCTACAAAATGCATCAGAAATTAGACCGGGACACTTTGGCGCCGGAAAAAAACAGACCTGTCAAGGTGGTTTTACAGAATGAGACTCACGTTATTAATCTGATTAAAAAGGCAAGTAATTTGAAAAATAACGCATACAAGAAGATATCGCTTTCATTTGATCGCACTCGTAGACAGACTGACCACTGCAAAAAGTTGCAAGAGGATGTGTATGCAAGAAATGCTGAAGGCACGCAGAAGTTTAGGGTTAGATATATAAATATTGTGAAGTCTTTAAACTGAAGTTTTCCAGCAGTTTCGCTGGTTCGAGCTCGCGCTGTTTGTTGTGTTACTATCAAAATGTTCGTGGGTTGAATAGCAAGTTACATATAATATGACTTAGTTTAATTAAGTGAAACGTGGTTGAGTGAGAATGTTTTGAGTGCTGAACTAATTCCTGACTCTTATATTGCTCATAGGAAGGACCGTAAGTTTACATTGGTTGATAAGGAATGTGGCGATGGAGTGCTTTTAGCTGTTAAGGAATCCATTAAATCTGAGGTTATAGATGTTGTTGTACTTGATGCACAATTTCCATCAATTGATCTTTCAATAGTAAGATGTCATGTGGCATATAAGACATTTTTTGTGGTTGTTGTTTACATTCCTGACAAAATTGCTGTTGATGAAATTGAATCGTTCTTTGATGCTGTTGAGCAACTGGATTATTTGCGTGACTGTGATTCCGCGTTTCTAGCCGATTTTAATGTGCCTCAACTTGTAAATGACAATCTTCTAAACCCTGAGACACGCATTATCAATATTTTTTTTATATTTTTAATTACAAACAGTCAAATAATGCCTTAAATCAACTTTACCTCTACCTCTAGTGCCAGAAGATAGTCACCATCCAGCAGGCAATAGATGTTGATTTGACTGCCATACTCATTATAGAGTCTAAGTTTACATTCAATCATGGTAAAATAACATAACTACAGAAAGGCTGACTTTGTCAACATGTTTCAAGAGCTAATTCATTTTGACTGGAATGTTTTATTCTGCTCTTCTGATGTTAATTATATTGTTGATGAATTTTATGGCAACATTTTAAATCAGATTAAATCAGCATATGATCAATATATGTTCACTCCAAAAACAACACATCACGAATCCCTGCGATAATGAAATTTCAAAATAATTCTATAGATCAGTCTCAGGATATAGTGAACGCATTCAGTGAGTTTTTCAGCAGCGTCATAGTAATTTATTTGTCCATTTTCATCCAATTGAGGAAAATTAAGTAAGGAGGGCCATTAAATAACTAAAGGATAAGATGACATCTGATCTAGATGGCATCCCATCATTTATAGTATTGTGTGGAAGTGTTTGTTGGTGGTTTAACTAATATTTTTAATATTTGTCTGATAACAGAAAGATTCCCAGATATTTGGAAGGTCGCTAAAGTCTGTCAAGTGTTTATGTGTGGGGATAAGTCAAATATTGAGAACTACAGGGCAATCTCTACATTATGCATGTTCTCGAAGGTCTTTGAAATAGTTTTGTATAGTCGCATTTACACTGCCGTCCAGCGTCAGCTGTCATTGCATCAGCACGGATTTGTTGCTATTCGCTCAAGAACCACAAATCTATTTATAATAACGCAGTACCTCTCTGAAGCAATTGATAGTAATAAGCAAGTTGACATTATTTATACAGACTTTTCGAAGTTCTTCAATAAAATTAACCACGACACTGTATTGAATAAGTTAGGTGCACTTTGTTTCACGGATTAATTTTGTGCTGTCTTGGTATGTAGAAAACAAGTTGGAGCTTAATGTGGGGAAGTATAAAATAGTCAGCTGCACCTGGAAAATGAATGTTTGCGAATATCCGTATTCTATTGATGGGTCTGTGCTAGAAAGATGCTCTGATGTACGTGGTTTAGGTATAATCTATGATCAAAAGTTAACTTTTAGTCAGCATATAAATAAAAAACATCAGAAGCATTGGTGGCTTATGGTTTCATAGTAAGGAATTGCAGGAATTTTCATAACATAAATTCCATTAAGCTATTATATTATGCTTATGTTAGATCCAAAGTCGAATATTGTAGTATTATCTGTAGCCCTTACTATGATGCTATAGCATAGCTATTGTAAAGAGTACAACAGAACTTTATGAAGTTTGTTCTGTTTAGGATTGAGTCGCTTAGACATGTTGACTTTGAAAAAACGTAGGTACTGTGCCTCAATAATATTTGGCTACAAACTGGTCAACAATTTAATTGATTGCCTCATGATCCTCGAACAGATCAAGTTTCGTACTCCAACGTCTGCATCTCGCAATCATAAAATATTCAGGCTACCTAGAGCTAGAACATACATTCTTCTCAAGTCACCGTTATATGTAATGTGCTCTAACTTGAACAAAATTGTTTGTTACTGTGATATATGTACAACAAATGTTAATTACCTGCTAAAGGCAGCTAAGGCTTATTTAGACCAATAGCTACATGTCACTAATTTATACCTCTGTTGCATTTGTTCTTTTCTTTTCGCTTTTGTATTATGTTTATAAATTCTCCTATAAATGGGAAGCTGTTGGACAATAAAGCTATTATTATTATCAAAGATATAGCATGTGATCGGAAGTTCATCGAATTACTCAAAAACAATGTTTTGTGTTAGTAACAGTTTCAGTGTACGAAGTTGCAGGATCGAGCAAAATAAAACGGCTATATCGCTTAACAGACACAGGTTTAGTGGGGCGACGACTGGACACACTGTTGCCGGTCTGACGCTAACGGTGGTGATTTTGTTACTTACCACGACAGCTGATTGCAAAAGCGACGATGAGTTCGCGGATAAAACCATGTCTATAACCTTCCTCGAGAATCAATTAATAAGTGTACAAATGTTTACGTCTCTCGATATTATGGCTCAGACGTGATGCTGACAGAGTGGAGAGAGAATCGCTTTCATATATAGAGAGGAATGTGCTGGGCCACACAGCATTAGACTTTACTTTATAACAAATGAATGTACTTTACCCGCCTAGCAGCATTAAAGATTGACAAATAACCCAATAACAGCATTATACTTGAAGTACAACAAAAATCTAAATTAAGACGATCTCGCTAAGAAAACGAATGCCGAAATGCAGTAAATGCACAATACAAATGTCCTAATTGTATACGCTTACTCATTTAGGCCGGACCAGCGACTGAGCGCTTTCGCGCCAGACACCTCATGTCAAATTGCATTAAGCTGTTTGGGCTGTTTCCGGAGGCACAGATATTTCAAGTGTATTTCCCGGAATAAATAGTAGCCTATGTACTATTCAAGAGCATGATCTATCTTTGTACCAAATTACTTCCAGGTCCTTTCATCTATTTTGGCGTGATTGAGTAAAAAACATCCCTTTATACTATTAGTATGGATTAGTAGGTATATAGGATTGACTGACCCGTTTAAGTTTATATAACATTTCACCATTCCTGATATTCTATCTTAATAGCAAGAACCTAACTTGAAGAACCCTGTATGCTTTTTTTTTAGATACAGACTAAATGCACAGAAACAAAACGTACTTCCTATGTTAGCATCAAGCTGTCCAGGCTGGGTATGTTATGCTGAGAAAACCCATGGGAACTTCATCCTGCCATACATATCCACAACCAAGTCGCCACAACAGATCATGGGGTCTATCATCAAGCAGTGGGTAAGTACTTATTTTACGTTAAGCTCGCACCCAATAGGAAGTTTCGATTTTGTTCTCTGTCTTCCAAGATTTTGCCTCGCCGGATTTCTGGTTCTCATTCTAATTCGGTCCTCCTCAACAAAGAATTGGTCGACTTTTGAATTAGCAAAGTGTTGTCTTTTTAGGTTGGCAAAACATTAGGGACGCCGCAGCACCGTCCTATCTACCACGTGACCGTGATGCCTTGTTACGACAAAAAATTAGAAGCGAGCAGGAAGGAGTTTTTTGATGCGCAGACGGAGTCTCGTGACGTGGATTGCGTCATCACGGCCATCGAATTACAGCAAATGTTGCAAGGTGAAGGGCTGTCTTTGGTTGATGCGCCGGAGGGACGATTGACGCAACCGTGGATCCCCGAGGATGGCCAAGGGGGAGCGGGAGACGGTGAGGTGCGTCTGCGTAGGCATGTGGGTATGTAATCATGGAGAAGATTTAGTATTAGCTTATCACAAAAAAATATTTTTTAATTCAGCTTACTCTCTTTCGATTTACTATTCCTCAGACCAGATAGCAATTTCTGTTTACATATTTTACGCATTTCCCATTTTCATGGACTTTATTATTTTTGATGCTGCAATGTCGCCGACACGTTAAGCAGGTGCCTAGTTTGTTCTCCTAGTGAAATGATTACCATGTACTCTGAATAACGTTCCCTGTCAGCGAGACAGTCGAAGGATGAGTGGCTCTTCAAAGCGGATCAATGCGCAAACTGTCATTGGTTCATTGTCCAGAAAAAATCAAAATTTAACGTAGAATTATGAAATATGAGATGAAATTGCCCCCTTTGCTTCAGTGACATGATGATATTGTTTGCTCTACTGCGGCGACGTAGCCTACCACTATACGCAACCGTTACTATTGCGTCAATTTGAGCGACGCCTAAACGTCAGATTGCCGTTCTAGCGAAATAACGTCAGAACAATATGAGATGGAGACAGATTGGTAAACATAATAAAACAAGAATGACGGCATATTTCAATAATATTCCGCCGCAAAACTTAGTTTCAATTTTTATCGACATTTCACTTTTCTTGAATAATGCAGAAAATACTTAACCTTTTGCGACTTACTGATGTGATAGAATTCTGATATTACCACGTTAATTACCTATGATTTTTTATCTAAAAATAAAATATTCAGACTCTATTGAACCGATTTTGATAACATTTTACACAATAACAAAGTTAGCTAGAAGTAACGTAAAGCTAGTCAGACGGTTAAAAAATTCAGGTCCGGACTGGATTTTTTTAACTTGAATTTTATCAAAATCAACACCTTTAATGGAATGTTTGCCTATGTACAGAAAAATCCAATTAATGATGTTCATAGATTGAATGTATGTTTTTTGGCGTTTTAATCTAACATTTTTATTTACCCAAACATGTATCGCTGTATATGATACAAAACTCAAAATTTCAAACTGTAACAACTTGATTTCATCAACATTTTACAAAATAGGGCTTAGAATGGATCTGGAGATGTTTTGAGAACTCATAATTCTAGGGCTGGTTCCAGTTTTTTCTATTGGTTGAATTTTATCAAGTACCATGCCCTGTAACTTATACTCTGAACTTATTATCATTTTACAAACAAATGATAAATGATATATATATATAAATTAAAGTCCAAACTATTGTTCAGCACCTACACCTTTTTTCCTTTTTTTTTTTTTGATGACCAAATGATTTCCAGCTTGAGTTCTGCTTAAAGCGGCACGACATTCATTATACAAATACTCTGAATTTGACTTTCCAGGCTAATACGAAAGTATGTTGAAAATGTATAAAAACCCAATCTACAATAATTACGGCAGACACATAATTTATAATTATCATGTTATGTTACTGTTGGAAACATATTGGAGTATATACAAGCCTCGACGATGTAGCAGCTTCCTAAACACATTTTATATCTGCCATATCTAGCCCAATGACATATATTGCACTCAAATACTTTTAATATACCGCTGAGTTATCATGTACATGTAAAAATCGCATTATAATCGGTAAACGAGCAAATTATCCGAATGTCGATTTCCAAAACTAACTATGAGAATATTAGTTTTTTTGAAATAACTTTGGTTTGACAAAGCCAATCTAACATATTGTACCTTTTTGAAATCAGAATTGAAAACTCTATTCTCCTATGTAAAAGTCCAATGTGGCGTCTATAAGAAAAAATAAACTTATGATTCGGCACATGGAACGAAACGAAACGTCATACTAAGATTCTAATTATGCTGTCTTGTAGAGGAGAAAACAGACAATGTTAATGTACTTTTTATTTTGATATCCCATCTTGAATAAAGTCAGGAAAATACAAACGGTCTTGGAAAAATCGGTTTCTTTCAACTATCCACGGAAATACTTGAAATTGTGGAATTTTTCTAAGTTACCTATATGCAAAACTTTGCCTTCATTTAACTTCATATCTCTTACCGTTTCCGAGATCCTAATGGTGAGTCGGATTTGAAACACTCGGTATATGTGCTGAAATAAAAAAAAACATTGATTAACTTTTATCTAATTAGCCTCATTAAAACCTATAATAACCAGAAAATCATTCAAATAACTATTTGCCGAGCCATGGACATTGAAAAGTTATCCGTCCGACTAGATTTATGTTACTCGTCGGAAACTTTTATTATTGTGCAAAGTTTCAGTGGTGCCTGAGATATGTAATATTAATAGAGTGTTATGAATGTGTATGTGAATGTTTATTACTATCAACATATTCGTAAATTCGATGGGTTTTATTTCTTAAATATAATTCCGTCCAAATGTGTACCATCCCTTCGGACACACTCTTCTAATCGCGCTCAAATTCTGAAACACTCTCTTGCAGAGTTCCAGAGTGATGTTGTTTATTTCTGGTCGAATGTTGTCTTTAAACTCCTCCAGTGTTCGTGGATTATTGGAATACACTATTGACTTTAGATAACCCCACAAAAAATAATCGCATGGCGTGAGGTCGAGTGACCTAGGAGGCCAGTGTGAATGTCTCCAAAGTTCGATATAACTTTCTAAGGAAAAAGTGCTTTGCACCGTGTCCATCGATTCTCTGGAAGTATGGGCAGTTGAAACCATGTGTTTTTGTTGTTGATATTTCTCTTTTGGGTTCGTAGGTGCACAGTATCTGCAATTTTGCTTGTTCACATAACCGTCTTAGTGAAAATGGTCCTCGTCACTGAAAACAACGTTTTCAAAATTCAACGCCCGTTAAGCACAAGATTTCCGTAATACACTTTCCTTTAAAGCATGGACTGATTGGATTTTATAAGTATGAAAACCCTTTTTTTCTTCATTATGCCATGCAGTGTTAACCTAGGGATACCCAAAGCAGCGGAATGCTTCCGTACAAACACCGAGGATTTGCAATAACCGAATCACTTACTTGACGCACATTTTCTTCAGTTGATACAGTAGGTGTGGGGCCATGGATGGGTTGACTAAGATTAGAGCCTCTTTCACGGAACCTCTTCATCCACTTTTTCAATAGGTTCCTACTTGGGGCATCTTTTGGTCGGCGAATGTTAAATCATGTACAAAATTTCCGAAGCGCAGGTAAGTCACCTTGAGATTTTTTCGTCAGATCACCATGTGATTCCTAACGTGCAATTCGGCTTTCGGCCTGATCATAGTACGGAGCTACAGGCAGTTAGACTGGTGGAGCATGTAACCAGGGGGTTCACCCTGAACAAAAGTACTGGTATCTTGCTTTTAGATGTATCAAAGGCATTTGACAAGGTGTGGCACATGGGCCTGTTGTATAAGCTCATCAAAAGGGTTTTCCATTTTGGCTACTGAAACTGTTAAAATCTTTTCTAGAAGGAAGTTTCGGATCAAAATTAACAGTGTGTTGTCAACAACACGCCGTAAAAGCCACTGTTCCTCGGGGTTCGGTCTTGGGACCAATCCTTTATGCACTTTATATACATGAAGTCCTCTGCCCCAGCAACGGTGAAGTCTATCTCTATGCTGACGACACTGCAATGCTAGCTCAGTCCTGTTCTGGTAACCTGGTTCACGACAGGTTGCAGAGTGCGGTGGAGGAAGTATTGGAGTGGGCGGATCGGTGGTTGATCAAAATTAATTCTTCGAAAACGCAGGCAATCTATTGTACTAAAAAACTTTGTGCTGCCCCCTCAGAGCTATCAGTGAATGGAACTCGTATACCATGGGAGCAGTCTGTCAGGTATCTTGGAGTCATCATTGACAAGCGGTTGACCTGGCAGATATTTTGAAAACAAAATTCCAAATTACCTGTCGGCAGCTTTATCCTTTGTTGTTGTGCATAAATTCAAAATTAAGTTTGATCAACAAGATTCGCTTGTATAAAATGGTCATAAGACCCGCAATCACCTACGCATACGCTGCTTGGTGTTTTCTTGCCAAGGCGCACATGCAGAGAGTGCAAGTCCTGCAAAACAGAACCCTTCGCACAATTACTAACGCCCCTTGGTCAAATGAGACCATTCACAGAGATCTTGATATTCCATATCTAAGGGATTATGTAAAACAACAGGCGCAGCGGCGTTATAATCAAGCGGAATCGCACAGCAACCCTCTGTTGCCTGATTCAGTAGACTACACTGTCGAGCAAGTTCCCAAACATTCCAGGCCGCGCCTCGCACTGTGATCAAAATTAAATTGTAGATTCAGTATACAAAACCGATCAAAATTATTTTTTGGAGTTACAAAATAATTCGAGTAGTCAAAGTAATAATACTTAAGCTATTTCAAATGATTTACTTCTTTTCTTTGCTCTATTTCTTCCTTCTTCCTCTTTTCCCCTTAAACATGTTTGGTATCTGGGTAGCCAGACCTGACAGACTAACAGACCGACGAGACTTTTAACTAAGAGCAAAGGTCCACCGGACCGCTCTGACGAATAGTATATTTCAAAGCTTACTGAGTTAAAATATGAAGTTTAATTGAAGTATGGCTTTTTTCATATATCAGGCGACACTTACGCCTCCTATCGATTATAAAAAGCGTAAAAATTAATTTACAAGTAAAATATATTGAAATCGTATCATATTTTTCTTTTTATCCGCTAGTGAAAATAATAATTCAAGCATACTTTTCATTATATCTCCATAACGAATATATATATTGATTTGCAGTTATCGCCATTTTATAGGATGTTTTATGCTCTTTCCGATACATATTGAAAACGTATACCGTTGTATCAAAAATTTACGAGAATATTAAAAAAAACAGTGAGTCCATTGTGACTATTTAACCCCCACGCCGAACATGTCGATCAAGACTTCTCCCCAATTCCTCGCGTATAAGGTTGCTGCGTAATTCAAATTTAAGATGTGACCTTTCCCGTCGGACACCCATTAGGCGTGTTTAGATAAAGCATCTTTTATATTCGTAAAAAAATAATTTCCACATTACCATTTCACTTTGTACATTTAAACCTAGAAATGCCTGAATACAGTCAGTGGCTTATTTCCAACAAAGCCGTGTACCGTACAGTGAACCGTCATGAGCGTGCGTAGTACGTTTTTAGTGTCACTTAAAACGTACTGCGCACGCTCATGACGGTACACGGCTTTGTTGGAACGAAGCCAGTATGTTACAAGAAATATTACAAAGCTCGGGCATCATTGGCACAATGAATGATAAGCGCTTAGTGTTACCTGTAAAGATACCTTAATCAGTGATGTTACCGATGCGAATGCCGTCTGATTTGTGTTATCTGGCAAATTGGGAATGGTAAGTCGAGTTATAGGTCGAATCTCTTCATTATGCAGGCATCATGAAGTCAGCGTTTCCGTTTTTAGTACCTGTGATAACCAGCCCTGTAACACTCATGGCCATCTTTACATTTTTCATCGTGTGACCTAAATCAAGGTTACTATATAGAGTATTAAATAAGGTGAATCTAACACCTGGTTACGAATGACAATATTTCTAATAGACTCACATCAATTGAAGTTAAGGTACGTATAAATTCGTAACTTTTTCCACTAGGTTCTGGATCAGGTGGTTACGCGGACCACATATTCAAATATGCGACCAAAGAATTATTCGGGGAAGACGTGTCTCTACCATTGGAATATAAACAACTTCGGAATCCTGATTTCAAAGAAGCTACTTTGGAGAAGGATGGCAAGGTTTTGTTAAAGTTTGCTATCGTCAACGGATTCAGGTAGGTGATTTCATATGTTCTGTCATCCTAATAACCAAAGTATTTACAGGGTGATTGAGCACCCTTATCATTTATAGAGCAAAAAACCCCGAAAGCTTCTATAAATATGAGTATTAAAGTTGACATTATGACACTTTAAGAAATAGAACTAAAGAGGGAAATTGAGTAATCAATATAGTTGTTAAACGCTTAGGAACATCCAGAACTTGGTGCAGAAGCTGAAGAAGGGCAAATCTGCATACCACTACGTAGAAGTAATGGCGTGTCCTTCAGGCTGCTTGAACGGGGGAGCCCAAGTGCGACCTAGCATAGGGAACAGCGTGAGGGAGTTGGTGCTAAGGCTGGAGGGCATGTACGAATCGTTGCAACTGGTAACACCAGAGGAGAATAAGACGGTTGAGGAGTTATACCACAGATGGCTGGGAGGGAGGGAAATGGACAAGGCGGAACACATGTTGCATACTACGTACACGGCTGTACAGAAGATGACTAATGCGCTCAATATTAAGTGGTGAAAGTACAAACTTGTTTAGAATCTTTGAAGGCGCTTTGGGGCGACATGTAGGTGGAAGCAGAGGGTAAAAAGCTGTGTGATTCATGAGATTAAGCTTCCGGAAGTAACACTTGATTTGAGCATAAACGCCTTTTCTTTTTCACTTTTTCTATGTAAGGCTCTTTTCTGTGCGGGTGAATGGATATATTATCATTTTATTTTGAATGCTTTTTTAAAAAATTCTCCCACCATGGCAAGAAGATTTACAATAGAGATGTCAACTTAGAATTTTTTAAGTTTTAAATGATTTTGTGGGTGTAAATCGTTATAAAGAGCGAGAAAAAATATAAATTAATGATTTGTATATCTTGTTGATCGTAAATATATTTTAATGAAAGTTTAAGAGTGTTGGCTACCATATTACCTATTCCTTTACCACCACTCACCAAGTTGAGGAAAGTGGCAAAAAACACATTTACAGTTCCAAATATTTTTATACTATACATCCTAAACTGAATAGTGTATTTATAACATCAGCTATTGAGTATACCTGTATTGCCAAAGCACAGCAGATTTCTAATGTAATTTTACAAATGAATCTATGGAGTATCATCAGAAAAGCTTCACACTGATCTCCTCCACCCTTTACTATGATGAGAAGCTGGAGGTGACCTGCACTATCTACTTTCATGAGAAGTTCATTCCCTTGAATCCCAGGAGTCAAGAACTGTGAGTCGATACCAGGGTGAATACTGTATAAAGAACACCGTAAAAATTAGGTCAACATCAAGTTTGAAGTGAATGTATCTACCTTCTCGACAGAAGTCTGTAACCATAACCAACCGTAGACAGTGCTGTTTTGTACTCTTTAGCAACTCATCAATAGTTTACCTGTAGGTCTAGTCTTAGTCTTGGAGACGGACAAACGTTAAGAAAGCAAAGCAGTATGGTGTTTTCAAAGAATCGAAATGTGTGCAAGTAAATGGTGTCTCAATAAGAGCGCCGGTTTTGATTTTCAAGAAAAACAATTTCTTTTCGAATTAAAATTCTGGATAACGTTTTCGCACAACTGTGGCTCTATTTCGTCGATAACGCGCCGTATCTCTTCTTTAAGGCGTTCAACTGTTTGTGGATTGTTCGCATACACCTTTTCCTTCACATAACCCCAGAGGACAAAGTGCTTTGGCGTTAGATCGCACGATCTTGGTGGCCAATTTTGATTGCCAAACCGAGAGATGACACGGTCTGAAAACTTTGTCCGCAGTATCACCGTTGTTTCGCGTGCTGTGTGGCAGGTCGCTCCGTCTTGGAAGAACATATCCTCCACATCAAATCGATCCAACTGGTGCCACAAAAACTCGGTTAACATTTCGCGATACCCGCACACCATTAACAGTTACCACAGTTCCAGCAGTCCAATCACTCCGCCACTCCACAATGCGCATCAAACGGTAACTCACGGCGGATGCATTGGTTGTTCGATTATTACACGAGGGCTTTCAGAACCCCACCGACAGTTCTGCTTATTGACCCGTTCAGTTGGAAATTTGCCTCATCAGAGAAAATGATTTTCCTCGAGAAATCGCATTAATTTGGTGGTGCTCCAGCGCCCAATCAACGAATTCACGGCGCTGCGCATGGTCCAATGGCTTGAGTTCTTGCGTCAATTGACGCATGCAAGCACAGATCTTTTGTCAAAATTCGTTTGCAGAGTGGATCTGGTAAAATTCAATTCATGGCCACGATGCCGAATAGAAGTGCCAGGATTCTCGGCCACACTTTCCCGCCCGCGACTATATTTTCGAGGGATCGACCAGGACGGCGACGAACAGTGGTCTTCACATTCAGCAACGTGAATTTTGTCTCATATTTTGTAATTAAACGGCGAACTATCGACTCATTTAGCGCATTATTGCGACCGAAAATTGTACGTAATTTACGAACTGTTTCCGTGTAATTTTCTTCTTTTTTGTTGTAAGTTTTCTTGACGAAAACGCCACCTACAAGTGGTATATCAAAGCTGACACCATTCTCAGCTCATATGCTGTATGCAGTATAAGGCATGTGCACAGGATGAACAGAATGTTTGGTTTCCCTACCTGTTTCGCGCATTTCAGTTTACGGGCTGAGGATGGTGTCAGCTTTGGCAGACCAGTTATAAGTGACATTTCTCACCTACGTGTACACACTTTTATGTTTTCTAATAAGCTAGTTATGTAGAGAGTTGACAACAAAGTATTGGGTTACATAACTATACTCTCTGGAATGGAGTACCAATTCTATCGAATGTGCAGAGGGTATATGGTATCTCCTAACTACAAACTATCTCATTCTGCTTCTTTCCACTGACAACACGTATGGTTCATCGAGAAAGACGAGTCTCTGATAAAGAAAACAGATAGTATTGTTACTGTCCGCATTCGGTTGATGAAGCTATTACCGCTCTGTAGCGCCAACTGTGATGTACAATTTTACATCTAGAACATATCTACGATGATCTACCACTCACAAATAAGTGTTCCCGTTACCAAGCTGAATCTGCGTAATGGCGAAAAATACTTGTTATCGACCAATATTTTTTAAGCCAGCGTTTCTCAACCTGTGGGACGTGTTAATATTAAAGGGAGCGCGAGCATATCAGAAAAAAACGCAAAAAACATTGAATAATTTACTAAAAGGAAAGACAAATAAAAGTCTGACAATCCAAAATAAAATACACATTAACACTGATATAGTAGGTACACTTATAAACAGGACTGCATTCATCAATATTAAATTAAAAATTAGTTTAATAGTACTAATTGTAAAAAATTATAATCAGTGACTCCCTTGGGCCTGCTTTGCCGAGCAAAGCTTGTCGAAACAAGGTTTCTTATTTGAAATAGACACTCTGAGTTCTTTTTCTATATTTAGCTGCTATCTATATTTGGTCTTCAACGCATAGCCACCGCCAAAAAACCTGTTTCGCAAAAGTAGGATGATGAAAGCGGTAGTAGTTTACGAAACGTCAAAATACTCGAGATACATTATTATTGTTTACACACATTGTTAGTGGTTAAAGGTGCTGCAGATCGGAAACAATCGGTACTAATAAAGTACATGCTACGCCACTGGAGTTCTGTTGACAAATTATTCAATAACAGTAAAATCAAGCTGACTAAGCAGTTACATCGTATTGTTTCTCTTATCTATTAAATAAAATCTGACTGCCATATACGACACGGGTATAAGATAGGCCCCGGCATCCTCTCTTAAAAAATATTTTCAGTTTCTAAATAATAAATATAAACTATGGGCAGAGGACGTATAGTAGTAGACGTAGATGCAGGTTTAGATGATTATGTAGCTCTTCTGATATTTTTACATGCAGACAAATTGGGTGATATCAAAGTAGAAGGGATTATTTGCACCAATGGAAACACGACACGTGAAAATGTAGTTCGCAATGTAATCAGATTATTGGAGCTGGTTGGCAGAACTGACGTAAGTACGTTACTAATACATACACGCAAAATTAATGGTGGAACTCATAATTCGGACTCGCCCAATGGAAACCGAAGCCAATTCAATGGCAACAATTCAACATTTACAAATGAATCCAAGCTGCAACAATTCTATAAAATAATATGTTTCAAGACATCATTTCAAGAATCCATTATCGATTTAGAATAATTAGGAAGTTTCCTATTTTCTGAAACACGCCTAAAGCGAATTACAGCACTGTTTTTTTTAATATCTTAGAAAATGATAGGTTGCGCTATCCAAAATTTTATTTGGAGAATTATCTTGTTGAAGCATGAGACTGAGCTATGGCGTCAGATGACACCAGGTACCGTCACTACCACAAAGCGATGCAAACGCCGCGCACACTTTGCGCTGTTTACAAACGTTGCTTTGCTCAGGATTTACGGTAAAAAAATACCTAGGTGTAGAAATACAAGTATATCTGCTCCAGAAGAACATGTGTACGTGTACAAGAATTAGAAGGAAGTGGTGCAGGGTAATGAACAGGGACGATAAAATTACCTCTTTCGGAAATATCGTTGTACCGCTGTAAAATATAATTTTAATGTTAATAGGTATTGCGCTAATATGGTAAAAAAAACAAAATAAATTTTTAGTGTATGTGCCTGTTATGATGGATAAATAACCTAAAAGGAGATATAGATTTGATTATTGCTTTTATATCGAGATAATTTGAATATTGTTATAGTGATCACGTTGTGGCTTGGACATGGCGTGGAGACGCATATAGGCGTGGTCCAGGAACCAGAATCCTGACCAAAGTGGAAAAAATTTGTATTATCGAATATTGGCAAAATAGATTGCGGAGTCGAAAGCATGGATACTTATTATGATATGGTATTATTGTATTGCTTGCCAATCGACACATGACACTATACGACAGCAGTATCTAATTGATATTTCTTCAGATTACGGAAAAATAATTAATCGCTAATTATAGAGAATTTGAAAAGAGTTTGAAAAAGCCCATTAAAGACCGCTCTATTTTGAATAGTAGCATATCACACACCCTGCTAAGAAATACGTCAGTTTTGGCTACAGATGACAAGTTTGGCAATTATAAGGCATTATATAAATATAAATTATTCCTTGAAAACATTTAAAACATACCCATCATGCTGGACCCGCCATTTAGATTTTTTAAGAATCCATATTTAATTCCTTACTAGCGATCTTAAGGTCCATGTCACTTTTTTCAATTGCCTGTTTGAAGCAGTGTTCTAAATCATTTCCATCTCATTATTTTATGGCGTGTATAGAGACTAAAAAACAATGTTACCATTTTTGTTGTCATAAAAGTAGAATGCATTTTTGTTCATTTTTTTCAACCGTAACTTATCACCAAATATTAGTACAGCTCTTAAAATTGTACACCAGAATTCCACTTTTATAGTAGAACTGAGCAATTGATTATCACTTTTTCCCTTGAAATTTTTTTTTTATTTTCTTGAAACCTCATTTTGCAGCAATTTGGTTTTTCAAGAAAAGAAAGAAGATAGACAGGTAAGAAACAAGTATTCACCCGTTAAAATCTTCCGTAAAGGTGGAATATTCACATACAGTTTTAAAGCTGTACTATTATTTGTTACCAAGTTACTGATGGAGAAAAAATGCACAACAAATTTTAAAAAAAAGAAACTGATAAGATTGTTTTCCGTCATCTCTCTACACATCATGAAACAATCGAACGAAAAGTATTAAAAATACTCCTCCAGACAGGCTGTTGAAAAAAAAGGACGTTTAAAATGCTTGAAAGCTAATTATGAGTGTGATCAAAACATTTTTTGCAAACATAGCCGCCATATTAGTACTGCAATTTCGCCTTTTGAACAACCGATATCAAGTTCGTTATTAGCGACTATGCAAACATTTTAAACTTAAATTTGAGCTTAATCGAAACGTTTATGTACACCATCGCCACTTTTTCCATTTTACTGATTGTATATCTAGAATATCGCACAGCAGTCTATGCTAAGATACAAACAATATATTGCGACTGGACAGCTCTGGAGCGCAAAGGATGAAAGCGACATCCAAGGGCCGTCAGTGCCGTGACCCAGAAACTGAAGTTATGTCAACCCAGAAACTGAACTTATGTCATGTGACGTCACGAATGAACCTCGACGCGCAGTATTTTCGATTCTAGGAAACTAGAACTACGTTTGGGTTCTTTGCAAATCTTATTTCGTAAACTGCAGCCTTATCTTTAGACATTTGTTTTATCCAGATAATTTTAAGCACATATACCTGTATAAAGAGGTATCAGATGTGTAAACAATAACATTGTATAACAATAGTAGTTTAAGACTACCTAGATCTACATATTTCAGTATTTTTCATGGTTTGTGGGCCAGTCTGCTGAACTTTTTTGTAAGGCATGCCACCAAAAGAATAGATCCAACTATTATACTTTGACGTATATCTAGAGAACTGATGTCATTGTAGATGTTTGATGAAATTTGCACATTTTTTGTTGTTTTCCAATCGCAATGCACTATGTTCGGAGTATTATTAGTGCAATTATCGGAAACTTTGACAGAGACTAATAAAATCTTCCAAGTCACCTATAAGAGAATTACTCTGATCATGAGGAAAGTCAATGAATGTGTTAGACAAGAAGCTGATACTTCCCTTAAAAGACCAGAATCAATAATGTTCAGCAGTTCTTATAACCTTTTGCATGGAGAACTAACTTCGTTTCATATGCCACAAAATGTCTACCATATACAGTTTTAAGGATTCGTATAGTGACAAGTTCTGCTAGATTTTGGGAAAAGTTCTGTAGTATATCTTTAGTCGTTAGGAAATAGTATTTTGGAAACGGACAATTCTAATTCAATGTGAATTTCATAAAAGGACGAATCAGTAGAGAAGAGTATGTATAATATTATTGTGTTCAGTAACATGACTTCAGACACTACTACTGGAAGTCAGTAATTTCTTATCCACGATGTTTTTTTACGAGTAGTTATGGGTTCGGCAGACCATAGCAACAGTTGTTTGATATCTATTTACATTATTATCGACATCCCTACTAGCCAGTTCACCATCGTTCCAACTTGGATGGAGTATTGCTCGTTGCTCCAAGACACAATCTTTTATAAAACCTGTTCAGGCTTATCCTGCATCGACCCCTTGGGACTAACTTTCCAATATGTTCAAGATTATACAGGACGTCCCACTACTGCGTTGGATATCCAAGATTATTTTTTATAGATATAGAAATAGTTTATTTTTGACAATTTTTTTTACTTCCCACGCCACTGACGAGGAAGTACTGCATTCGCGAAAAATTTCGAAAATGATATATGTTTTTTAGATGTTATAATAAGAGTTCTACATCCGTTCCGTTCGGATTTTGATGAAATTCCAATACAAGGTTACTACTAGGCCAGGGAAGAAAAAGCTTTGTAATGTTTTAAAATCGATCCAGTGACGGTGGAGCTAGAAACAAAAAACGAAAAAAATCACACAAACTTTGTTTTAGACGTTTCAAAGCCTCCTATCATTTCCAGAAGAATTTTAGTAGGAGCTGTAAATGCTGCATCTTTGGTATAAGTAAAAGACAGTACATCGATAAGGAGATTATGGTCCCGGTAATAGCGGAAAATTTAAATGGCAAATATACGATGAAAAATGCGCTCACAAATCGAAATAGATAATACCTGCAACAGTAGGATGCACGATACGTTGACAGGTAACTGATATGGTAGAGCGACGGAGACGAGAAGGGGGAGATATGGAGAAAAATAAACAGGAATATTTATAATCGGGAAGTATTTGGAGTGGATATGTTACTACATGAATATTTCCGTAGATAAGAAAATGCCGTAAACATATTGACTCAGTACCTTTCACGCATTCATATACGACTATTTTCAAGCTCCTGCTACAAATGTATACATTCTGATTTCTGAAAAACATGTCCCGAGGATGTACCATAGTATATGGTTATAGTTTTTGATGACTCCTAATACATAGATGCCATGATCTGGATATTTAAGCGAATTATAGTCATGTACAACGGTGGAAAACACAAATTGTTAATTTTTCAAAATCTTAACAAGATATTTTTATTACACACAAAAGTAACAGAAACTGGAGAAGCATGCTAAAACGGAGTTTGTAAATGGATTAAAGGCGTTGTGTTTTCTGCTCATTACTCCTCCGCATGTCAAATAGCATTAGTTTCTGTGGCACCACTACATAATGCTCCCACAATTGCATTAAAACCGGTCCGTTTCTGTAATTACGTGGTTACAAGAACGCCAGCAGATAGACACAGAGTGACAATCTGAAGGAAAGGAGTGACATGAATTTGTATTATGCTGATATGCCTTCAACCAAAAATAATTTTAATGAGTTTGAATATCGTTATGATTGTAACACGATCATCGTCCTTTGGTTTCAAGGAAATTGACTTTGTACTCCCCACATAGTATGGCTCAATTGCAGGTACTAAGTAGTGGCGAGACACCTGGAGAGAATGGGTTGTCTGCTGTTCCTTAATCTTTACCCCCCTCTATAACTCGGAAAGTACCATTTTGATGAGATTTTTCACCACGTGACTACGATGCTAAGGACGAAAAAGTAGATAGTAGTTTTTGAAAATTGGTTCAATGGCTGCGAAGCTAAACGGAAAAGAAAAATCAATGAAACATCCTGCTTCAACGTTTCAGAAATTCTTGCTCAATATAGGATTAAACATTAGGGATTGTATGTGGTAGGGGGTCAATGGCTTTAAATTGTTGCATTTTTTGGTATTAGTGTTTTAAGTTAGTTTAAGAAGCTGGTGATCCCAGTAATACGAGGCACCTGTTAAGACATATAAATCACACATAAATATTTTAAATTCATTTTATACATGGCCAAGGTTCGACTCCGTCTTTTAAATAGACCTGACTCGTGCCTGACTTTGAAATAAGTAAATTTTGAATAAAGACGTGGGAAATATACACGCCATTTTTTAAACGGAATCCTCCAATTTCATCACTTGAACACTCTTAGCTATACGGCGAGGTTCAAATTTGGCTGACGTAATATGTACGAAAGAGAAGAGTGCAACATGTTTGTTAGAAATAGTGCGCGGATGGCAACACGGCAAGCCATAGCTGTGTGCGTGGCGTCATCACTCGGGTTGCTAGTCAACGAAGAGCGTCTATCTCTTTCTAGCACACGTAGTTCACGTATCCGCCCTTGTCTCTCGTACACATTACGACGCCAGTGGTGTATGGATTTCACTGTTTAGGTATTTCAAAGTAACTTTAAGAAAAAGTCGAGATGGTAAATGAGAAAATATGTTTTAAGGATCGATAAATTATGTGTTTTTGAAAACTGAGCAAAACTAGTTGACTCTAATAATTCAAGGAATGTGTGAACTAGTAGCAACTACAGACTGTAAGAAATCTCACAAATGTAGCCCTCTGACTATTAAAGAGGCCGATAAACTGATGATTGATTTTATTTTAAGACAAAAACTATTAACTCTGCAACTACTTGACAAATCTCGTACGTAGCTCTACCCAAATATGCAATATAACTTTAGGTATCTATCAAAACAGCAACTTTGTTATCCTGGTCATAAGTCGAACACCCCCTGTTCTATTGGTCGAAATCTACAAAATACCAAATACTTTTATGAAAGTCAGCAGAAATCCATTCCCGATAACATTTCTGCGAAGTTTTTTTCATCCGTTCAGTTAGTGGATATTGCGCGGTACCAGACATTGTGGTCTATCACAATGACAAGTTCGTCAAATGTGTGAGAGGCGTAATGAATAAAAAGAGACTACTAAAGTTAGCCTCATATTCATTACGTTACAGATACCAGTATACAAAGGAGCGCAAGAACAGTTCATCTTACACCGAAAACCGTTTATCCTTCACCAACCACCTCTATACCAGTACCATGGACAAGACGGGTTTGGCGACATGAAACACGATACCGATCCCGACGTTTCGCTTGTGAAAGATACGCCCGCTTCGTTCGCGTTGAGTGACTTAGTGTTGTCCGCTCCACATCAGATATCTGTGATATGTCTGGGTCCACTTACTACGTTGGCACTCACTTTGAAGCTATTCCCGGAACTTGCTGGCAAGATTAAGGATGTTTGGATTATGGGAGGGAACATAAGAGGTAAGATATATGGAAATGTAGGAGTAATGGATGTTAAAAGATCTGATTGTCCTCACCACTGGGCATTCAAGGAAGGCAGTGGCGACGCGTGACTTTTCCTAAACTGTTACCAAAACCAGATGTGAAAGATCTTATTAAAAAAAGTTTATTTTGAACCTACCAAATATAAGTTTTGCTAATTTTAGGTATTTTGTTTAAACTTTTTTTAAATGAAAGTAAACATTGCTGCAATGGGCGTCTGGGGCACTTGATATACCTCATCGTCTTATGCAATTACTAATCATACGGCATCTATAAGAGAGCTGCCTAAAAGCTTGGTCAAGACAACTTTCGATTCTTGTTTTGTAAACTGAATTAAATTGGCTACACATCTCACATGTAACGGAGAAATTTTATGTCTCCTCTTTAGAACCCTAAGACTATTTAAATCGTTGACTCCGCTGCTGGTCCACCCATTTTCTTCTGTAGAAAACAGAAGACATGACCAACAATCTGTTTTTCTTGCAGCCACATAACCAAGAGTTTTCACTACATAATTTAAAATATCGAACTACTTTTTTCATTCCTTTTTAAAATTATCTAAAATAGGTGTTGGGTCTTCATTTTCAATGATCTCATTTTTTTTCTTCACAATTATATAAGGAGAATGACTTTTTAAGTAGTTGATCGATTACGCTGCGACATTAATCCGTTTAATTGCACGCACACTACAGCCGGTAACCAAAACGGCTACTTACGAGTGAGAAATAAGTAACCAAAACAAAAAGTGGTAACAAGCCCTCATAATAGTCGCAGCGGCCCACGCACTCTGGCGACCGCGATCAGACACGAGCCGGCTCCGACGGTCCCCGACGGACTATCAAGTGTATCCATAAACGAAAATGGTAACAACCGACAACCAAGTCGAGGCGAGTCAGCTTCATCGCGTTAGCAAAATCTAGACAGTATAGGGCGCATTATTTTCTTGCGGCTAATTTGCTATTTACTGAAGTATTATTACATATTGCTGTTGGTAAACATATTATTGAAATTATTTCACAGTACTTTAGTCATAAAATATTTATTTTCAAGATTTTTAACTATTACTAATGGTAACAATGGTTACATAGACGCTTCGCCACTGAAGGAAGGATTTTTGCACTATTTCACAGTAGGCTATAATAGTTATCACAGGTTTTCAATATGTGAAAAATATTCGAAATGTGCACGATTTCCGGAATTTGCTGGTTCGACTACACTATATCCATGCTCTCCTCCAGACCCGCCTGACTTCGGTCTTCTATCCTAACCGTGTCTATCTTCGTACAACCTGAACTGGCAGATACGACCGCTCCTTTGTTCCTAGGGTATCGAAATTGTGGAATAATCTACAAGAGGAGGCTTTTCCCAGTTCTACTAACTTTAGGCAGTTAAAAAATCGGATTAAAAAAGTTTCTTTAAGCTCCTCAGAGCAGCCGCGGTTTCCTTTGGCATTTAGGCTTCTGCCTGCACGTGCAAATTTCGAAAAATTTCCAATTTCTGAAAACCTGTGATGTCTGTTACAGCCTGTTGTGATATGCAAATGTTGAATTCTCCCTCGATCGTTCCTCAAGGTAGCGTTATTGTTTCTTTAAGATTCAAGGAGGGACCACTCCTCAAACGACAATAATCAAGGGATGTTTATGAATGTGATCCTCAGAGTCAGGGTTTGTAATTGTAGCATTTAAATGAAAATTAGAGAATCGTTTCCTAGTACCATATTTTCGCGCTTTCAAGATTCTGCTTTCATCAAAACAGCGTGGTTCCTAACGCATCCAAGCCTGTCAAAAATACTCCAGGGATGAGGTGATTTTTCTTGCAAACAGTGTATCATTTTTTTTACTTATACCGTTAGAATACTGCTTGGTAATAATCAATAGAGTTTCCCATAATCTTAGTATGTATTCCAAAAAAATTGTGTATAACACTATAATTCTTCCCCATTTTTTATATTGTTCAATCATCTTGTTTACAGCAAATGGAAACATATTTTCAAAATTACAAATTCTACAAAATAAAGCTGTGAGAATCATTTTAAATAAAAACAAATATGTCAGGATTAAGTTTATGTTAGAAGAACAACTGCAGTGGTTGGATGTGAAAAATTTCATATATTATTTAGTTCTCGTTTTCATATTCAAATTAAAAAATCATTTATTACCACCACATCTAGAAAACTTAACAAAATTGAATAGTCATTATCATAACTACGAAACTAGAGGCAGTATTGATTTTCATCTGCAAAATTGTAATAGTAGCATAACTAGTAAATCTATATTTCAAAAGGGAGTATTTGAATTTAATAAATTAAAAAATGATATTAAACAGAGTTCGAATTTAAAAATGTTTAAGGTGAAATTAAAAAATCACTTTATGAATAATCAAAATACATAGTGACGTAATTTTAATAGACAAGAATGTACAATGACAGAAAATGGATTGAAGAAAAATATGTAACCGAATCATTATACAAAATTGACATTGTAGCACTAATACTAAATAAATCTTCAACAACAAGAACAAGTTCAAATTGGCGCCATGATGGGGCTGGGGCATAAGCAGTCATTTTGATAAACACGTTTGTAATTTTGTAAGGGATTAAATTCTGCCTTTTTGTTTTCGACGGTTTTTCCGTATTGTTAACCGTTCAGTCTGTTAGCCATTTTGTCACTGCACAGCCTCAACATCCATTACATTCCATTAAAATCGCTGCAACAGTGGCTGAAACTAAGTTGTGACAAAAATGCCACTAGACCGACTGAGAGCAATGATTAACTTAATCTTCGTATACAATCGTGAGAGAGAAAAATGGGTTGACTTCAAAATGATATTCTTAATCAGAGATAATGATAATGCAATTATCCCCACGTGAAATAATGTTGTTTGCTGACAGGTGGACAACGTACATAGCGAGCGGAGTATATTGCGCGACTGATCACTTCTCATACATACCACACACAAAAACAGACCATTTATAAACTGCGCGATCTATAAGATACATTTTCAAACTAGATTTCAGATTATTACGAGGGGGAGAAACAACAGGATATCTCATTTCATCTTGATTCATTTTTTGGGCACCGAAACGCGGTATATGGGTGGCTATCTTCAGGAAAAATATGTTAATCAATGGCTAAACGCACAAAATGGCAGAAATGCGTTTTTCTATAATAGGAGAACAATCCTCGTTTTCCATATTCTCAGCATATTATTAAATTATTTAGTCTTTTAGGCTTTATATCCACCATCGCTTATTAGACTCTCTAACATGCTTAACAAGGTCATTAAGAGAACTTACTTTAAGGAGTTGGGAATATAACATCATCAGCAGAATTCAACTTCTACATGGATCCAGAAGCAGTACACATTGTTTTAGAATGTTTGAAATGTGAAATCTATATTCTTCCATGGGAACCATGCAGCACAGTCCTGATATCAAAGGTATTTCTATAATAAAGTTTGACGCTTTTCCACCCACCACCCACCAATGAAGCCTAACGCACACTAGGGGATGGAAAAGCAGAGTATGAGGTATTTTCCAACAATTCAATGGAATATAAATATTTTGGCTTTACAATGTACATTCTGGGTGTTTCCAGTTTCTTCTATGAACCAGAACAATGTAATGTTTTTTCATCCCATGTCATTAGAATGTGGTCCCATTTCTGACTGACCACTGTTTGTCAATAAATTAAAAACAGCGGATAAAGAAAGTTCTTCCAGGTTCGCAATCAAGTTCTACAAAGCTTGGGTGATGATAATATTTTGTAGCTACTCATTGGAAACAACATCCATGGAGCACAATTCATTTCACCAAATTGTTCAAATGCTTTTTTAGGTTGCAAATACTTGAGTATGTTTTTGGACTGATGATAAATATTGTATGTACAGTAACAAATATAATAAGGGTACAGGGAGGAAGTTACTTTCACTCAATCTAAATAGAAGTATGTGATTATATCACGGTGTTTCATTTGTTTAACTTTTAATTTCTTTAAAAAGTTATTACAGTATCAGTATCTCAGCTGAGTTTCCTCCAAATTGGAGTGGTGCAACAAAAACCTTATTTGACTTTAACATTTGAGAACACTTTTACTAAACAGTAGAAAGGTGGTGCAATGAGGTATTTAAACTTCCATAAGATGTGAAAATAACCTTCAATTAAGGATTATTGGCCATGAAATGTATAGACACAGACTATCAGTATTCAGAATAAAAATTGTATCCCATTCTGATCTCTTCAGCAGGAAATACATATGTATATTTTTATTTGTGTGAATAAGTTTTTTTTAAAAGATGCGCGAGTAAAAAGGAGGATAAGCCATATCATTATTGAAAAATAGTTATAGACAATTCCATTTGAAAAAGAAAATATCTGGCATATTTTCCTGTGTAGCTTCTGATTTTTTTTTTAGTTACTTCAAATTTCTAGAAACCAGCCATATAGCTAATTCACCTAATTTTCAGGTCTGGTTATACAACACATTTGCTACAGACAAACTATATCTTGAACTGCTAGCCAGGGGAGAAAAAAGCATAGAAAAGCATGCTGAAAGTAATGGGTGGATGCCCTGTGATGCTTTTCTGGCATTTTGTTTTATTAATCCACGAAAGGCTATCACAAAATGCAGCAAGCACAATGCCACTATTGAACTATACAGCAGTCATACCAGGGGACAAATGGTACTGGACCATTTAAAAAAGAAAGAAGATAATGTCACTATCATTGAGGATTTTGATGTGGAACTGTTCATGGAACATCTTTTGAAAATTAAGACAGAATTATGAATTAATATTTTGTTCAGTATTATCTAGTTTGTATTTCTGAAATATAATTATTGACATAATATCTACTCAAATAAACATTAGATAGGATATTGAGACATAACAAAGTGTCTATTGTTAAATTACTTGACTATTGAACAAACTATATATACCTGTATATCCTCATACTGGAACAGGTTTTACAAAACTGATATTAAATCTGTACATGTAAACAGAATACAGTAGTTATTGTTTGAAAGAACAAAATGCTTGACTACAAATCATTTAAAATTGGTATCAATTAATTATAATATTACATGGAAAATGCACTATATCCTAGTATAAGACCATGTATATGGAGTAGAGTTTCTCAAAAAAAAATAAATACTTTGAAAAATATAATACCTTGAGCAATGAAAATAAAATATCCTCACACAATTCATCCACCACACCCAACAATTTGTTTTTGAAAAATATATAGGTACAAAACCAATATCCTTATTTCATGGGAGGACAACTTCAAATTAAAAACTGGTATTTGAAAGGCTACTGATTCAAAATGCATATATAAACATCACAAGTGTTATATAATTTTATACAAAACCACCTCTCGTTACCTGAATTGCCAACAATAAAAATCTTTTAAATTATAACAAATATTGGTATATACTAAGATTTCCCTCATTAGGATTCCTTTGATGACCCACTCTTTGGCTCCAGTACCTGCAACTGCTGTCGTACTTCCCTGTTTTCATTCAACAACTGCACTAGCTTGGCATGAATATTGTCATTCTGCTGTTCCATATCATCAAGAGCAGAGTTAAGAGCATCTAACTGGCTGTCAAGTTTTTCGAAATCTGCAACGAATTGGTATGAGCATGTATCATTTTACTGCTTGTGCACCTTTGAAACCTTCAGGGGTCATGTCTTCAAATTCGTCATCCTCGGAGGAAGGTATCTCCATACTGTTGTCTCCATTCGGATTGCTAGCCTTTTGCTTTTCTGGTATTCCATTTTCTTGAGGTGGTATGGACTGCTCACCCATAGCTTAAAGTAAATTCAGTATTATTATGAATTATTACAACTAGAATAGGATTAGGCAAATTAGGATTGTTTTCAGTCATATGATTATATTATCAATTGGTGGTCAAGTTGTCAACAATCACGGAACATCATGTTAACGAAAAAGAAGACAGCAAAACATGAAACGTCAGTGTATAACTTTTTGGAATGGGGTTGAGGGCAACTGAGGCCTGACAAGGCGCAACGCAGGAAATCTGGCAACGTTTTTTGCGGTGAAAAAAACAGCCGGAATTTAGAGTATGTCGTCAAACCCTTAATTAAGCATGGGTCAGGGGGTATTCACTCTTATGGGATGAATCGGAACAGTGTTTTTAGTTGGTGATCAATCCGTTGGATGCCGCTGGTATCGCTGTTGTCGTTTGTCGGAATTGGAAGCTGATATTTGACAGCTGTCACTGCTTCCTTTCTTCCTTGTGTTTGGTTTGTTTGGTGGTTTGGACCGTTAAATACTTTTATTTTTTGTTTATGTGTGGTTAAATTTGAGTGATTACAGCGCTTATTTATTGCAGCATGTAAGTATAGTGATATAATCTAGTTTTATAGGCTAAGATGATGGGTACAAAACTTCAGGGCCGTCGACAAGAGAGGAGCTCGTGGCTCGGGGCTGAGAGGAGCACGAGGCTCGCTTACTGAACTGATGGATAGACGTTCTTAGGTTCGCTCATGTCAAGAAAAGAGCCCGAGAATATTTCGGCATGGGGGCTCGAGAATTTTTGGACATAGGAGCCCGAGCTTACTTCTCAACGGCCCTGCTTATCTAAATATGTTTGCTAAAATCATCAATTTTAATATTGTATCATTACAGTATTACTACATTATTACAACTGCAAAAGTTAAATTTGATTTTTTTTATGTTGTCATGTCTAGCAACATTTCTATTTCCTTGAGTCATTTAATCAATATTTTTATAACTGAATGTTGTTTTTCAGAAACCATGTCTTGGTACCGCAAATGCGCAGTTAGAGGCTGTCAGGACAGTGTTTCAGTACGACATAGATTTCCAAACCCGACGAAATTTATGTATGTTTTTGTGCAATGGGTGGATTGTATTGGTAATGAAGCAGTGAGAGATATAGACCCCATAACTGTTTATAATAGATATAGAGTGTGTCATGCACACTTCACAGTGGAAGACAATTCTGGTAACAACAGACTTAGGAAGGATGCTGTGCCATCACTAAATCTTCCTGATCAACAAATATCCAACGCAACTGATGAAATTCTTGGTATGTGGTTTTGTTTAATACCCAATTTTACATATCTCAACTTCAATTACATATATTCAGCTTTTTGGAAACTGTTATAAGTTGTGACTTTCAACAGTGTTTAGTACAAGTGATTGAAACTACATAACTATAGTCTGTTTATCGAAGGAAGAGTAAATCCAAACATATACATGCATATTTTACATGACTGGTGAGGCTACATGCACCTTTGTGTTGTCTCCTGCTCCACCCCGCTGGTTTGGCATTGGCAGGCCACACAGTGCATGTAGCAAGTCACATAAAATATGTGTGAACATTGTTGGGTTTGGTGTCTTTCTTCAATAAACGAAGTATCTAGTTAATATTTTCCATTTAAAACTCATTGATGGGAATTATTTATATTTGGAATAAGTTAGACTGAGCTCCAGTTAACACTGGGAATGTTATAAAGTGAATATTTATACAGGGAAATTAGAGATCACATTATCTTAACTGCAAACATCTCATTGGTAGTTGTTTCATTCATTCCCAGAATGCGCTCCAAAACAGTTTATTGATGATAGCACAGTAACTGTATGAAACATTATAAAATTGATCATGTAATTTTTTTTTTTTTGATAGTGTAAATTGTGTGGTTACAGGAAAACCATCAACTTCAGCATCATATCAACAGTTGGGAGAAGTTTGCTCAGTTCCAACTTCACAACCAGGAAATCTTGATGTAACTACAGTAGAACCCATTGAGGAGCATTATTCAGAAGCAAGTGAGTAAAGTAATTTTGCATGAATCCTATTATACCAAGGGAAACATTGTTTTCCAAAAAAAGCAAATCTTACTAGAAGTTCTTCAAAATTGTGAAAGTTTGAAAACAAAATTGTTTTCTATACATAACAATACCTACTAATAATAATAATTTTAATTTCAAATCACATCAGCATAATATAAACTTTAAACGAAGTTTGGTCAAGTTTGACTATCAAGCACTTGCATTTATAATTAGAAATGGAACATTTTATTGAATTTATTGTCTTGTAAAAATACAGTTGTAATGGATTTTGAACATATATGTAATATAATATCAATTTCATTCGTTATTTCAAGGTTCCTCAAGAACAGAATCTGGATTATTGCATAAGTTACATGTAACTAGAGACCATGCTACGCATTTATCTCGCTTAACATACATGCGTTTGAAGATATACAACAATCGCCATATTCTGAATTTCAAGACTCGCAAAAAACTGGCTGAGACTCTGGTGCTATCGTTAATAAATTATTCAATTGCTGTTTACTTTCCTTGTCTTGATTACGGGACTAGATATCGAGTACAAAAACTTCAAAATCGCTGCTGTAGGTTCGTTTGTGGTCTGCGATAGTTTAGCCATGTGTCTAAGAAGATCAATGAGCTTAGATGGTTGAGGGTTGACCAGCTTTTCACATATAATTTACTAATTTTAGTACAACGAATCCAAATCAATAGGCTACCTGCTTATCTACTAAAAAGGCTACTACCACGTGGGGATCTCAATTACAGGAATCTCAGACATAACTCTGACTTCCATATACCTAGTTATAGGAGCAACATTTTCTATCATAGCTTCACCTACAACGCTGTCAAGGTGTATAATAGTCTTAATAACAATTGCAAAAAGAAGGGAATACTTGCATTCAAGAGAGCCATTAAGAACCATCTTCTGGGGTCTGCTAGCCAAGCTAGCTGATATATTTCTTTTTTTTTTGTTAGAGCGGGCTATGTAGTATTGATGTATAACATCTTAAGATTACTCTATTTAAGCCTTAATTATTGTATATATTAGTTAGTCGGTTGCTATTCATTGTTATATCTTTTTTTTGTATGTGTTTCTGCGCTGTGAGGTTAAGTGGTAGAGTAGCCAGCTGGCTAAACTTCGCCTCGCAGTGTGGATGGATTTCTAAAGACATTATTATTATTATATTTAGCTTTGTGAGAAAAGGTGATATAATTTGTATATGAATGATTGACCATAAAGTGACTATAATTATTTCTTGAATTTTAATTCCTCCCTTCGCATCCCCTGGAAAGATTTTCCACAAGCCATTTTACGTAATAAAAACACTGAATGGTTTAATTTCTGCTATATTAGTCATTAATACGTGACGCGCGACTCATCCCAGCATTGGAGAAAGACACTGTGTCGAAATGCGCGTCATGTATTAATGACTAAGAAAGTGGAAATTAACCCATTTGGAGTGTTTTTGTTACGTAAGACGATTTATTATTAACAGAATGTAAAAAGCCCCATTAGGTTTGTCCTATTAAGATGGAAAGGCCCATTATTCAGCACTGGTGTGCGGCCAATCCACCAGAGGTCGCAGAAATACGGTAACTTATTTTAGTATTGGAGTTTCCCATCTCTAGAAGGGTTTATCTCTGGCATGGGTTTATGTTCACCTTGAAAAAAAAACCTGAGTAAAATTTTCTCACTCAACTCGGTTCCTCTGTGCCTACATTATTTTTTTATAAATTGTGTGTTTCAAGAAATGATCTTCAATATTTTCAATTCTAGTTTCTGTCAGCCATGTTTCAAGATTGGAGTGGGTTAAAAAAATACAGGTGAGTAACTACATGACATTGATTCTGATAATATTGTGAAGTTGCTTAGGGCATTTATTATGTTTCACGTAAATCTTTTTGATAATACTTTGGCAAAAACAAGCAAGAAATAGATACGACAGTGCCTATATCCTTATTGCCAAAATAAATACATATTGAATGAAGTCATTCATATCCTCCATCCAAGAAATATCATCCATTCCCAAAAAATCCCAGTCAAAGGCAATTATGATACAATGCCTGTGGATCAGCTTCCAGTACAAAATCTGATAACTATGTTTGCGAAGACAAGTTCGTACTGTCTGATCATGTTTCCCTTCAGAATCCCTATTCACGTTTGAACTGTCTTGCAGTTCCAAAAGATGTTGATGGTAAAATTCTAAATCAACCCATTAGTCATTCTGATATTGCAGTTTCATTGAAGGAATGCACTGTTGGTTTCTCAGCAAGCATTTGTGATTCTCCTTCAACTTCGGGCAGCAAGCCATGTAAATTGTCTGCCAAAAGAAGTACCAAAGACTTGACATATTTATGTAAGTACAATTGAACACGATTACCAGATTTTGTGGTACAGACTCATTATCAAGATAAATATATATTTCTGTCAGACACTTCGAGTTCATGCCTTACACAATTAGAAGTAAGTAAAAGTCAATTAACAGAAAGGGAATCTAAAATGTATCAAATTGTCCGCAACACAAAGTGATGTTAACTTCCCCCAATGCCCTACATGTCGGGAAGCACTGTTCTCTGAGGAGTTTACCCCATTACAGTTGTAAGTTCATTTCAAGGAACAAGACAAGCAGAGGCTGGCATACGCCAATGACAAACTAAGTCATCTACTAGATGTTATCGATGTAAGACTGTATAGTTTTTTTGATAAGTTTGCCCATTTGCCGAATGATCAAGCCTCCTTCAAAACAGGTCTGACACAACTGCTTGAAAATTTTCAGCCTTGCAATTTTCATGATGCTCTCAAAAATATCATTAACAAATGCATCAGACTGACCATCTGCTAGTATATTAAACATAAAAATTCTTTGAAAAGGCCTCTTGGAACATTGATGGTCATTCAACGAAAATGAAAAAGTTGAATGCCACCAGGTAAATCATTTTTGAATATTTGCTGCTGGTTTTTTAATTATTTCATGTACCTCCATGGATGAACCATCACAAACCTGGCTGTGACATACCTGACCAGGACATTTTTAGCATATTGTGAAAGAATTACGTTTTATTTTATTTTTTAGAATTTCATGTTGAGTTATTGAATTACTGTATGTGGCCTGTACCATATACATTAATGTTTATTCAGAAGTATAAGGTTATGTTTGATTATCGAAATCTTGTACCCTTTACATACATATTTCACAATATTTTTGTTATTGAATTTTTGTTGAGTGTGGTATCATGGGTTTTTTGTAGTTTCCTTATGATCGTATATTCGAATTATTATTCAGAAACCTCCCATGGGGGTTTCTGATTCTTCATTGTACTATATTGCAAATGCACCACATTACGCTATCTACCAGAATAAAGTTATTTCGGCTCTGTGCCTACGGCCTGACCGTTGAGATTACGTTCCCTATCTACAGCTCCGGAGTCAGTATGTGTGCGTCTCTAGTCCCCCTTACCTTCGTCCTCCTCCCCTTTCTGTACGCCCATGCTCCTTGGAGCGATGCGCGCGCTGGCTAGTGGCGAGCGATTCCCCGCTCGCCCTTCAGTACGCTTTTATCTATCGCACGGATAGGGTGTGTGCGTGTGCGTATGTGTAACATCGCGAGTTAAACGTTGTGTAACGTTCGAGAGAATAATAGTATAAATGCAAAGGTAAGAGACAAAAACCTTAGTTTGACAATTTAGTGTAGATGGCTACCATTTGATATAAAATTGTCACGGTCTCGGATCACTCGGTCCAGACGTGAGACTCCCTTCTAATGCATCTTGGGCAAATTCGCTAGAGCATAATATGGGCACTTGTGTGCAAGCGCACAATGCCCATTCATAGGAAAAATGAAGGGAGTCCTGCAGCCGGATCCATCTACACAATGTTTCGGCCCGACCGGCCCGTCAAGTCGGCCCGACCAGCTGCAGACTTCGGCCCGACCGGCTGCAGACTTCGGCCCGACCGGCTGCAGACTTCGGCCCGACCGGCCGCTAAATTCGGCCCGACCGGCTGCGAATTTTGGCCCGACCGGCCGCTACGTTCGGTCCGACCGGCTGCAAATTTTGGCCCGACCCGCTGCAGAATTCGGCCCGACCGGCTGCATTTTTGGCCCGACCGACCAGCTAATTATAGCACATCTGCTTCCAGATGGCGATGGCAACCAATTTTGTTACTCTGGGTGAACTCTGGTCCAGCCACGTTGAAATGGAGGAAGAAGATGAAGCGATATTTTCCAGAATCAAGGTCTTAATAGAGAACCATCTGCCAGACGGCTGGAGAGACTGGAAGGTGATTGACTGGAAGAAAGAAGATCTATTTGGGAAAAAGATAGACCACAAAGTATTGAACAAAATTCGCTTCGCCCTCCCCACATTGGAACTGGTGAAAGCATTCTACCCAGAAGCAACATCGGTGGGAGAGAAAACCTACCGAAATATAAAATTGAGGCTTCTCGACTGGAACCTCTGTAGAGCATTGATCATGAGCCCACGGCAGGTAGCGTGTCAGTTACGAGGATCTATGGCTCAAGCGGAGCTCTTTAATAAGGCGGTGGAACCACTTAAACATACTATGCGTTCCAGAGAGCTGACGTCGGAGGCCCTTTCAACGGACGGGGAGTCTAATTATACGTCCCGAAGTAAAAGGAGACGGTGTCAATCGTCCAGCTCAGACGACGAGTACATGGTCAGAACCGAGAAACCAATGAAGAGGAGGCGGCGAGTATTGTCTTCGAGCTCGGAGGAGGATGTCAATGAGACAAGGCTACGCCGCGTGGAAAGCATGGTCGAGAATCTTTACCACTTGGTCTCAGGAAATAAAGAGAACGATGGCAGCGTCATGAATTCGACTTGGCAAGCTCCAACTCCTACAGGTGAAGAGCTGTATGACGCCGACAGTATTGGCACATGTGGCAGCGTAAACGACTGGGACACGTTTTCCCCTGTCACTAGGGAAATCGAGCCTACAGTCCCTAGGGCGGACCCAGTAATCGAGACACAGGGCATGAAATGCCAGCGTTTCGGGGAAGAGACATGGAACAAGATTCGTTACGTGGACGCTCAGAAAAAACTCCACGCATCACCAGTCTTCAGTACTCTGAAGGTTAACTCATCCTTGTACAACAATGGACATGCAAGCCCAATGACAGATATGTTATCCAAAAGTGACCTGGCCTTCGGGACTATCTCACACGGTCTACTGAAGCAACGGAGAATCATACATGAGGCTCTGAAGGAGGCGGGGAACAAACACCCGGAAGCGGCAGACACTTTGAAAAAAGTTTTTGCTGCTAACAGTGAATACAAGACCATCTCGGACGACCTGCTGCAGTTCGTTTGCGGAAAAAGGGCGGAAATCATCGAAAGTCGCAGGAAACTATACGAGCCTAAAAGTAGTTACTATAGGT